CCAAGTTCACTAACTCCTATACAATTGCGACAACGCTCTCGCAAATGCGTACGTACAGATAAGTCCGTCTTATTTTTTACTTGGTAATTTTACTTCTTTATATAAGCTTCGTTTAGGATGGTTATTGCCTTCTTCTCCTAATTCTATTATTCGCCTTATTTGGCGGCTCAAATCTTTTCTTATAGTAGTATTGTAGGGTAGCTAGTAGTAATGCGAGAGGCGGGCTAAAAACTTTACGAATGGGGTAATATGTAACGTGTATTGAAAGGACGAAATTTCACGGCCAAAAGGTGGATTTTTGGATATTAAGTATTATTACCTATTAGGGGCTGCTAGGGACCCTAACCCTCTGGCACTATGGGTGCAAGGAGGAAAAGTATGGGTGTGGGTAGGTTTTCTCTTATCATTTCTTTCTTCTCTTATCAAGAGTCGTTCCGTTCGAACCGAGGGTAGCTTAATCCATGCGATTTGGCATAGCAAGACATTTTGGTACCATTACTAAATAGGAACCGAAGACAAGGGGGATGAAACGGGATTATAGTACGTAGCTGGAAAGAGCCAGTCTGTAAATTGTGTTTCCTTAAGAGGTTGCCAAGTGTAGAGTACGAAGAATGGGAAAGGGTCTTTGCATAGGCCCCGGGTGATGATAGATTCTCCTGCCTGTTAACAATAAGGCGGGTTATATCTAGACTACCCCCTTCTCCTATATCTAGACTACTTAACCTCTTTAGGTAGTAGTATAGGGCAAGGGAACTAGCATATTAAAAATTTTTGTGCGTACGGTATGCAAGGGTCCTCTATTTTTATATTAATTGAAATCCTTATAAAAAAAGTAGTTTTGCTATATAGACTCGCCCTACGTACTTGACGTGCCAAATCTATTAATGCGTGCTCTTAAATCTCCTTGAATTATGCCCAAACGTACCCTACGTTCTACGTGTATTATTATATGCGTGCGTAGTATTAAGAAGTATAGAGAGTGGAGGAGTGTGTATTTTCTATAGTTTTTTCTAGAGCTCTCTAATTTATGTAATTTTATTAACTTACGTTTTATATATATGTAAAATTATATTTTATTACTCTGGTTCTATTGTTTTAGCTCTAGTAGCTGCCTTAACGGCGGGGAAGAGGGAATATAGATGACTTCGCGGGGGACGTTAGTTGGTAGAGTAGTATTAAATATACGAAGTATTTCTATTATAAGTACTATTAGGCCGCTATAACTTTTAACGATATATCCTTCTTTCTAACGAAAAGGTAAATAGTCGCTAGGTTTTATACTTTTTTATACCTTAATAAGGCTCGCCTTCTAACTAGTAATTAAAGGGGGTTAGTATTGAATTATATAGTTTATTTAATTAATTAATTAATTATTAGTAACGGGGGTAGAGTTGGTCTAATTAGAATTATATTATGAATTAGGTTAAGTAGGCTAGTTGGGGGTAAATTTAATAAATCGAGTAGGTAAATCTATTGCTTTTATTTTAGCTTTCTTCGTTCGCTTCCTAACTTTAGGGTCTAAAATATAGCGTTTAGGATCGATTTAAACCTATTTTTATTAGTAATAGCTATTAGAATTATTAAAGCAAAGGAAGGGGATAAATTATTAGATCCCTTAGTAAATACTAGTATTAGTCAAGGTTCTTTAATATAAGTAATTCTTTAATTACTACAGTTTTTTTCCTATTGTTATTATACGTTAACGTCATACGTACTGCGAATATATAATAATAAGGTAAATTAAGCTACTAAGTATAATTATACGTATAGAAGGTAGTTTAAACAGTATTAAGAATATATATTTTAGCCTAATTATATTAATTCTAAATAAGGGTAAATATTTTCTCCGAAACCTTCTTTATAATAATTATTAATAGAGGGTTATGTTTATAATTATCTTTTAAAGTAAAGTTTTCGCGAGCAACTTTATCCTTATAATCCTTTTACTTCTTATTGATAAAAATACGAATTTTATTAAATATATTATAAAGAAAAGTATACGGATTATCGAAGACGTATCGAAATTCCATATACGAGGATTCTAATTAATTAGTATTTATAATATTATAATTACAATAGTATTTCGTATAAAACCGCGCTTATTATTAATAACTAAGTTAAAATATATTTTAAAAGTAATTCTATATTTCTATTATATATAAATTAATTCGTAATTAAGATAGTAATTATTAGTTATACTTAAACTTTATTTACTAAATTACCGAATAGAAAAAGTCTTTTTTAAATAATCCTATGAATACTTATAATAATCGATTCTATCGATATAGTAAATTGCTTTAAAAAGATATAATAACCCGCCCGGGCTATAATCCTATTTATTAGGATTTATAATATATATTACCCTTTTAGGTAGCGAACTTCAAAATGACTAACGGCCTCGTTAAGAATCGGTCTCCCTCTTAGTAGTTGGAGTCTGGTGCTAGAAGGAGTTGGAGTGCTAGAATGAGCTAGAGTGCTAGTAATAGTAATAGTGACGATTGGTTGTAACGGCGGCGGTTCGACTAGCTTTATAATATAAAGGGCGCTAACCTCAGCAATTTTAGGATTAAGGGAGTTATATTCAATTAAGGGATTTTCCTAACTATCGTTAATATATTTAATAATATTCTTAAATATATATTACATATATAATTAGGGTTAATTATTAGGAAAGTAATAGATAAGGGCCTACTTCTCTATTATAAAGTAATCGGTAATATATATAACGAGGTAAAATATAGCTATTCGCTAGGTAACATCGCTAAGGTATTTGAATAATTAATTTATGAACTTATTATTTTCCTTATGATTAAAACCGAAGGTTATAAGGAAAGTGGTATTTATAGAATTAATACCTATAATTATAAGTATTTTAAATTTAAAATATAAGATTTAGAAAGGGAGAATTAAATTAAATAAATAAACGAGAGAAAATAAGGAAACGTAAGGAGAAGGGAAGAGAATTTATATTATAAATACGATTGATATTTAAAATTATTAGGTTCCTTTTTTATATTTTTAAATATTAAGGGATTATAAAGATCAAGAACTTAAAGCGACTAATACGGTCGAGGGCGTAAATATATTAGAAATTAAGGGTTTCTAACTCCCTTAATAGCTTTTAAGTATTAGTTAAATTAATAGCGTACTCTTAACCTAATTATATAAAGTTATTCTTAATATTAATATTCTTAATTTTGTTGTATACATTAAAATAAATATTTTAAAAGGCGAATCGGATTTAAAAATTCGTAAAACCTTACTAATAAAATTATTATACAAATTCTTCCCCCTCTGAAGTGAATTTATATATAGAAAGGTAAATAAATACTTTAATTTACAACGGGTAGTTATAATAAGGGTTAGTAAATTCTAGCGTAATAAGACTATCCTTCTTTATTTTAATAACTGCTTAAAGGAATAATCGCACTTTATTATATTAATTTTTCTAACCCTAATACTATTAGCCTTATATTTCCTAAATTTAGCATACGTAAAGTAAATATAGTAATCGCTAGAGGAAATAATTGTAACGGCGAAGCTATTATCTTTGGCGAAAATTTGCAAGAAGCGCTTTATTATATTTATATCCTCGAATAACCATTCGATAGGTATAGTAACTTAGGGATTGTATAGCCGCAAGCGGTTCTCAAACACTTATTTAACGAAGGTATTATTAACGGTCTTATTAGCAGCGATGAAGGTATTGAGTATATACTCGTTATCGTCGTTTGGGAGCGCGGCTGTAAGGGGAGGTAGTGCCACTATAACTATAGTATATAGGCAAGTAAAGTGCTTAGGTACCTTATAGAAAGGGTGGTCTAGGCGGCTAGCTCAAATATGACGATTGTAAAAGCGATTGCTATGCGCGATTAATTTACTAATATATACGCTAGCGACCGTATGATTACAGGGCATTTTACAGGGCGAGTTATACTATAACTCTAGCGGATTATAATACTATTTGGAGTGTAGGGCTGGCCCTAGCGGGCGATTATAGGGGTGTAGGGAGGGTTGGAGAGGCTTGGCGGCTAAAAAGTCAAAATATAGGATTTATCGCTTTTATGTGAAATCTCTGCTCAATGCGGTTAAGTAGTCTAGATATAGGGGAAGGGGGTAGTCTAGATATAACCCGCCTCGTCAACAATGGCAGCCTAGGCTAAACATGACGGACTTGACATCCGGTTCCTGACCCAGCTCATCGGTTCGTCGTGTCGACCCATATGAAGAGATTCCAAGAACTTGGCGAGTGAAGAGCTTTCGGTCAACAGGCGAGAAGCAGACAAGGGACAAGAAATGCGAATGCAAGACGGCTCCAGAGACGGCTCCAGATTCCGGAATCCTCGTGGCAACAGCTGGGGAGAGACCGGTCAGGCCCGGGCAATGCAGTGTTGCGGGCAGCTGCAGCACCGTTACATCGGCCCTGTGTTAGTGGCTCCAGAACCCCCAGGGGCAGCGAATTCCCCAGCCGCACGACACTTGCAGCAGCAGGGAGCCGAGGACACCTGCACAGACATGGAATTTTTATCTCGACATCAATCTCTCCAATCTCTTTTGACGGCACTCAGTGCCACTCGGAATCAGCTTCCCGGCCTGTACAACCACACTTTGTCAAAACTCCACGCGGCCTTTTCCTCCTTGGACGGCACGACCCATGCCACAAATCCCCTCCCACTCTTCCGCTCTCGCTACCCGGCAAAGAACCTCTCGACGGTGGGATATTGGCTCTACCCTATGGAGGGTATACTCGACTGGTATATACGTGGCGCGGCCGGCGACCAAGAGCAACCAAGAAATACCAAAACTCGCACCACCCAGCCGCAGAGTGTCACCCTCGTCGACACAAGTGATGCGGAGTGCCTTCGACCTCTGGGGATGAGGTTCCATTGCCATCATGCCGTAGCACCACCAAGGGCGCCATGGGATGTAAGCGCTAGGGCAGAATGGGAATAATACCTTGTTTGGGTGAATCCGCCTCGAAGAGGGGAACGGCAAAGAGAGAAAGAGTGGGAAAAGTACTTATGGCGATGACCCCCCAGGTTGATCAGCGGTTCCTTCTTTTCCAGAGTAGGGCGATTCCACTCATTGTCAGCCATCTCCAACATGGCTATCCGTTCGCTCCGCCGGGCTCTGCTTCTGGCAGCTGCCGCCGCCTTGCCTTTTTCCCATCTTGTTGCTGGCCAGACTATCCAGACTGAGGATGGTGTTGTCTTGGGTGCGTGTTCCACTTCTCATCCTACTGGTGATCATCACTAACACAAACCAGAGGCCAACGAAAAGACTGTTGCCCCCGCCGTCCAAGTCGTCGCCGACACCAACGCTCCCGAAGCCTTCGTCCTGACCGACAATGTCATCGCCAACCTGACCGACCTCAACCTCTCCAACATCACCCTCTTCGCTTTCCCCGAGGAAGATGGCACCACCGAGGTCCAGAAGCGCACTCTTCTTGCCGGCTCAGGCTGCAAGACCGCACCCGGCGACTTACTCTGGCCCAATCGCCTCACCTGGAAGGTCTTTGACCTCTTGACCGGTGGCGCCCTCATCGAGACCGTCCCCATTGGCGCCGTCTGCTACCCCAACTCGGGCGTCTACAACGCCGCCAATTGCCAGGCCATCATTGCCAACTGGACCTCTTCCGACCTGCACGCCGCCGATCCCACCTCCATCATGTCCCCCATGTTCCAGGGCGAGACTTGCATGCCCCAGAACAGTAACTCGTCTACTTGCACGGTCGGCGGATTCCCCGTTTATGCTGCGAAGGCCACCAACGTTGCTCAGATCCAGCTCGCTGTCAACTTTGCTAGAAACCTGAACTTGAGGTTGGTGGTCAAGAACACTGGTCATGATTTCCTCGGAAAGAGCACTGGCTACGGTGCCCTGTCGATCTGGACTCACAACCTCAAGAAGCTCGAGTACGTCAAGTCCATCAAGACTCCTTCCTACTCCGGTCCCGCCTTCAAGATCGGCGCCGGTATTCAGGTCAAGGAGCTCTACGAGGTCGCGAAAAAGTACGGTGTCACCGCCATTGGCGGCGATTGCCACAGCGTCGGTGTTGCCGGTGGATATACCGCTGGTGGTGGCCACTCCCCCATGTCCTCCATCGCCGGTCTCGGTTCCGACCAAGTCCTCTCCATCGACGTCGTCCTGCCCAACGGCCGCTTCGTCACCGCCGACGAGACCCACAACACCGACCTCTTCTGGGCCCTTCGTGGTGGCGGTGGTGCCACCTTCGGCGTCGTGACCGGCATGACCGTTAAAGTCTGGCCCAAGACCAACGTCTCCGGCATGACATTCACCGTCGTTTCCGGCAACAACTCCGCTCTCCCCAACGACGTCTTCTGGGAGGGCATGTACGCCTACTGGCGTCACTTCCCCGAGTACGCCAAGGTCGGCACGCAGGGCTACTCGCAGATCTTCCCGTCCGGCACTGGCGGGTTCCTCTTCATGATGATTCCCTTCTGGGTTCCCGGCATGAAGCTCGCCGACTTCAAGACTCTTGTCCAGCCTCTGCTCGACGAGTGGACCAAAATCGGATTCAACGCCGGCTTTGTCGACGGCCCCAAGTTCTTCGAGTACGATAACTACTACGACGCCTGGGCCGCCAACTTCCCTCCCGAGGCCGTCGGCACCACCTCCATCCGCACCGCATCCCGTCTCTTCCCGGCCAAGAACTGGGAGGACGAGGAGACGCTCACGGGCATGATGAACGCCGTCCGCTCTGTTGTTGAGGACGGCTCGGCCCTCATCCAGTATAACTTCCAGGTCAAGGCCCCGGCCGGCACCCCCGCCTCCGCGGCCAACTCGCACTGGCGCGATGCGCTGTGGTTCGGTATTTTCGGTACCACGTGGGATGCCAATCTGGACGCTGCTGGTGTGGAGGCGATTAACAGGAAGATTACCGAGGATTGGATGGGTAGATTGAGGGTTTATGGTCCTGGTGGATACTTGAATGAAGGAGATGTTATGGAGCCTGGATTCGGGGAGGCGTATTTTGGAAGCAACTATGAGAGGCTGGTGCAGATTAAGAAGGAGGTCGATCCCACGGGACTGTTTTGGGCGCCGACGGCGGTGGGGAGCGAGGAGTGGGAGGTCCAGGGCCAGGAGGAGTGGTTGACGCTGCAGACGGGGAAGTTGTGTAAGAAGGCTGCTGGTTAGAGGGCCTGGGGGTTATGATGACTGATGGGTGGGATGTCATCTTTGCATAGCATAGCAGGCGTGTGGATTTCTTCGATAGTATCTGTGACTTTAACTATAATTGTAGGTACATATTTCTGATGCCATTCTTCTACCTCCTCGCTTTCTTCCGTCCTCGTGATATCTGATGGCATGACTACGATCACTGCGCAACATGTCTTGAATTGTGCCATACACTCAAACTTCGCAGTTAAACGAATGGCAAACGAAAAATGGTCATGGACTTCGTGGTCAGGGTGGTCCACCCCAATTCTTCAACAGGGGCACGAAATGACATCCCGGCATTAACACCCATTCTCGGGAGCGGGGCCGTCTTGGCCGTTTCCCGTCCGGGACGTTCAGTGGAGCTATGGGGAAGCTCCCCGGGCCGTGGTGGGGTAAGGGTCCCGCTGCGGGTTGGTGGATTTTGTGGATCTACCGTGCTTGAGAGCGGGGTTCTTGATGCAATTGGTACGTCGACACTAACATTTTACGAGTCAAAGTTGTTTTTGGACATGCGTTTCAAAACTTTAAGAACAATTGCTGCCTCCATATGTTCAGGGAGAATGAAGACGGCCATAAACATGCAAGCAATAGCATCATGATGGTCGTTGCTGGTGATCATCGGCTGACTACAACCAAAACCTAACCGTAGTCAACCCCGGCCTGTTAAGGCACTGTAACCTCGGCCCACCGCCCGGCGCAAAACTCTGAATGCCGACCGACCTCCCGACGTCACTTCATCGAGGTGACTAAGAAGACGGGACGCTCACCAAACACTGTACTGTATCTTGACTATAGCGGCGGTGAGCGATATCGACATCGGCATCATACAAACCCAATGCTGTACCACAACGTACTCGACCGTCTCGAATAAGCTCAGCAATAAGCTCATCTTGTCCCACCAGAAAAGACTGCCAAGACCAACTTCCTCATCACGCTTGGCGCATTCCATTCGACAGACCGCAAGCCATTGTCTATTTCGACCACTGATTGATGGAATTGGGTTTATCGGACACGGACAACGCCTCTCGTCGATCATTTCATCATTGGACATTTGGCGCAAGCAGCACAAGCGACGCAGGAAACTGTACCGGGGTGCATACGTATCCGCCCCAGCGGAACGGGTCGACGCTTGACGCGTGACGGGTCTGATCTCACTGCAGGGTCCTGTGGTCCAGACGTTCCTGCTTCCTCGTGGTCTGATATCTCGCATCGGCATCCTCATCACGACGACAATACCCTCCTTGACAACATCAAGTCATCACCCGAACATCGAACAAGCAGCCATTGAGTCGAGCATCCACCACCGTCCACGCCCTTCATTCGGCTTACCTCACTCACCCACATTGACTCACCAACACCAGCCGGCCTCACACAATCTCAAGTCCCAAGCGGATGGGTTCACCACCGGCCACCAGCCCTCATGATGATGGGCAGGCCGCATCTCGCCCCAGCCGCAGCCCCGGGCTGGCCGCCCGCCTCCGGTCCTACTTCCGCCCTGGTACCCCCTCCTCCCCCCTCGAACGCCGCCTCCTCCTAAAAATCGACTTCTTCATCCTAACCTTCTGCTGCCTCTCCTACTTCCTCAACTACCTCGACCGCACCGCTTTGTCGAATGCCTACGTCTCCGGCATGAAAGAATCCCTTTCCTTTCGCGGTAACCAGCTCAACCAAATAAACACTTGCTTCACCATCGGCTACGTTTTGGGGCAAATCCCGTCCAACTTATCCCTTCACTACGTGGCTCCCAGGGTATTTTTTCCTGGTATGATGGTCTTATGGGCTGGACTTACCATGGTCACGGCGGCGGCGAGACGGCCGGGGGATATAATGGCGATTAGATTCTTCCAGGGGGTTGCCGAGTCAACGACGTTCGTGGGCACGCATTATATTTTGGGGAGTTGGTACACGGAACAAGAACTGGGGAAGAGGAGCGGGGTGTTCACGGCGAGCGGATTGGCGGGCACGATGATTGGGGGGTTTGTGCAGAGTGGGATTCATGCGAGTATGGATGGGTTGAGGGGGTTGGCGGGCTGGCGTTGGTTATTCATTATCGACGGCATCATCACCTTGCCCGTGGCCATTTATGGATTTCTCTTGTTTCCGGATACGCCCAAGACGACGAGGGCGCCGTATTTGTCGGGGGAGGAGAGGGAGTTGGCTGTGAGGAGGATGGAGGGGCCGATGATTGAGGAACCGGAACGGCCTTCGAATGAAACGCTCGTCCCGGAAGTCCCGCCGTCCCCGTCCGCCTCCCGCGCTGAGGCATCAGCGAAACCCGTCGACGACAAGCCCGACTCGCAATCACGCCCTGAGCCATCACCCCCCACCTCCGCATCCGACACCAACCCCTCCTCCAACCTCGATCACCATCTGCACCACCACCCCTCCATGTCCGCCTCCGGAACCGCCAAAACCGAGCACTCCCTCACCCCCACGCACCCCTTCTCCCTCCCCTTCGCCCGCTCCCTCTTTTCCTCCTATCACTTCCCCTCCTTCATCCTCCTCTGGATCCTCGCCGGCGAAACTGAATCCTTCTCCTCCAACGCGCTTTTATCTCTCTATCTGAAATCCCACCCCTCCAACCCTTCCAACCCCTCCAACCCTTCGCCTTCCAACCCTTCGCCACCGGTGCCGCCGGTGCAAAAGTATACAATAGCGCAACTAAACAACTACCCAACCGGTGTCCCAGCCGTCGGTATCGTGTCTACTCTCTTCTTCGCCTTCATCACCGACTTATACCCCCGCCACCGGTCCATCGTCGGTTACTTTATAGGGATGATCGGGATCTTGACCCCCTCGCTGATCCTAGCCGCGCAAAAGGGCCACTTTGGTGATCCAGCCGGCAGCAAGGCGACGGGCGTGGTGATGGCCATGTATTACCTCGCTGGCTCCGTCTACGCCTGTCAGGCTACCTTCTTCGCGTGGGCGAACGATGCGATGACGAGGGATGGGAAGGAGCCGGTTTTCCGGGGCGTGGTGCTGGCGGGCATGAATCTGGGGAATAATGCTGTGAATGCGTGGTGGAGTATTGTGTTTTATGGCGCCGCGATGGCGCCTTGGTTTGAGAGAGGTATGTGGGCCATGATTGGGACGAGTATTGCGTTGGCGGCGTGGACGGCGTTCTTGTCGTCTATGGAAAAGAGGTCGAGGAGGAGGAGGGAGCGGGAGTTGAAGGAGAGGGAGGAGACGAGAAGGATACCAGGGGGAGATGCTGCTGTTGGGCCGTCGACGAGGGATGAGAAGGGGAAGAGGGTTGATGATGTATGATGATGTGCTTGATGTTTGGTTGTACATATATGACCATATAGGGGGCACTTGGATACCCGTTCGTAGGTTCGAGGAGGAGCAGAAATGTCACGTCTCTGGAACTGATACGAATGCGGAAGTCACAGCCTGATGAGTGAGTGGTGATGTTCATTTGTATGTTATAAACCGGTCCTCGTCTCAAGACCCTGTCTGCCGGATGATAAGTCATAACCGATCATCGATGGCATGACAGGTCTCGATCAACAGTCAATGAACCGTGTGGACGTCCTCCATTCCCATGATCGCATATTCACCCAGGTCGCCTATGTCCTCCAGTAACACCTCCCATCCTTCAGCTTTCTTGTTGCCGCCGTATACAGTCGATCGTTCCAGGGGGTGAGATCAGATGTCCGACAAGATCGAGTGGAGAAGTGTGCTTGGAGCAAGACAAGCAGAACTAAGCATGCTTGCCGCACCAGAGCGTCTAGTGCTATCGATAACATCCAGTGGTTAGTCTGTGTTCAACAAAAAGCACAGCGCCGGGAAGAGGCGAAGAGGGACAGAAGATTGAAGGAAATCCGGTGGAGGGGCCAGAGCAACGAGAAGGACAACTTACAGAGCAAGAGCTGCATCCGCAGCCCGAGCAGTTGCCGGAGCAGCCGCTGCAAGAGGTGCACGAGCTGTTGGGAGACAAGATCCGTTAGCTAGTTGCTGCGACAAACGACAAGGAGGCGAGGCAGCAAGGCGAGGCCAGGTGATGCTCGAAGGTGAAAGGAAGCAGGGAGAAGGTGGGGAGGAAGCGGTGCTTACCAAGGAGACATCTTGACTGTCGTTTGTTCTTGGTAGTTGATGGGTTTTGAGTGTTGATGCTGCGGTAAAAGTCTTGAAGACGCGAAATGTTGTTCGAAAGCTGGTGGATGGGAGAAGAGAAGAGGGGAGAGGTTCTCGAGAGTGGGAGGAAGGAGGGTTCTTATAGCCCGCCTCGGGAGCGTCCAGAGCGGCAGAGAAGGCCAGAAACTTCTGGCAATTTGGTCGTCTGACTTTTCAGAATTTGCAAGCTGCTGCCTTGGAAGGAGCAAGTTGCGACGAGTGATCAGTGGTCAAGATCGAGGCGGGCGTGGCTTCCTCGTTTGGTCTGAACCGCTGGGATGGGGTGAAATGCACGCGCTGAGGGGTGAGGGGTCCGCGGATTATGCGCTATCGTCCACTGCCTAGATACACCTTGGGAGTCTTGCTTTCCACTTGTGAGTTAGAAGTGATGGGCCAAGTCGGCCGAGATCGGTAAAGGTATAGTAGCTTTCCTGCCGTCTGCGTCAACTCTGTCGTGCGAAGTGACTGCTGGAGAGTGCCCCGGCGGGTCGTTGTACTTGTTCGACCTCAAGTGGCAGATCGTGCCCCTTGGTGATGGAAGGGAGGGCGTCGAACGGATAACGGCGGCAGACGACTCATTGAGTCGAGTCTAAATGGCGGTAGTTCTTGCCGTCTTTGCTTTGTAGGGACGAGAACCGGGGGACGTGAGAAGGGAGGCAACTGCCTAGAGTGATGGAAACGGCGGGCAGTGGTGGCACCATCATCTGGACTACAGAAGGAAACGATCATGGGGTAAAAGAGTGGGGAAACACGGTTGATGAAACTTCTCGATAATAAAGGCATTCATCTTGGAGTCAGGGAAAGGAAAGGGACGGAGTTCAGAAAGATCGACGAGGAGGGGTCAGGACGAGAGCGAAAGACGGGAGCGCGTCGGCCAGCGGACTGAAGACCGTGCAACCGGCCAGTAGAAATGCAAACAAGAACTAAAACTGCCGATCTCACCGGGAGTTTGGTCTTGTACTACCTCTACTGATTACCTCTATCATAGACCATAATCACTTCCAGGGTCAGACGAAACAGGAGATCCAGAGGACGAAAGGCGGGTAGCATCCCACGCCCATGCCCATGCCCCATCGGCGATCCGGATTGCAAACAACATGCTACTGTCTTCATACGTTATCCATCTCATCTTTTAATTTTCGTTTGGCGCCAGTCAACATGTCAACTGGAAATCTGCGCATTTTGACCATGTCATGTTCCTTTCCATCGCAGCTCATCAACCCAGGGTCCAAGACCCTAGACGCCGTGGACACTCGGAACATGATCGGTAGAAATGATTTGAGAAGCGGTAAAATTGCTTTCTAACCGCTTCTTTGAAGCCTCTTAATAACCCTTCGTTCGTGTTTCTGCCTATTGATGCCGATTTTGTTTCGAGAAACCCAGCATCGCATCTCGACATCCCGCCGCGATGATTATCCTGCATCAGCACAACGGGAGCGACGATTTTACAATTTGCAGACCTTCATATGCACGTGGCCCGAGCTCGTTCTCAACAACCCCTCAAGGTCCGCTGGCTCAATGGCAGAGCGTCTGACTACGAATCAGGAGGTTCCAGGTTCGACCCCTGGGTGGATCGATTCTTTTTGAGGATTTTCTCTTTTTGGACTTTTTCTGCCCGGGGATCTTTGACATCGTCGGCTTTTAATCCTTTCTCTGGTTTTTTCTTTACTTTATCTTATTTCTTTCTTGCACTGTCGCGCATTGGGAGCTAATTGGATACTTACATTTTTGGGGAAGATATTATCGTTGCTATTGTGGTGTAACATCAGGGCTGCAAATGACTTGTCCTTCCACACAGCACAAGTTCAAGATGCGAGAGGCAAGATAATGGGGAATGTTTCCAGTTCCCTAGCGCAGTACACGTGTAGATTGTTTCGTTTAGACAACTGCGTATATCTTTCCTTGCTCGGAGTCAACTTGATAGTATCATCTACACATAATCCAAGTGGACATCGAGTAAGCTTTCGCCCCAATACCTATCTTTCCCCTTTGCACGGAAGGAGAGCGACAAGCCATACATATTCACAATGCATACGAGGAAGTCGAAGGTGTGACTACTTGTTACAATTAAGCTACCTTAGTGGCAACTATCAACTGCAGAAGACTTTCGGTCCCTGTTCCTATAGTATCGTTATGTGCTGTGTACCATGTTATCCCGACCTTCCATGACCGGTTCCTGTTCCGAGTATTTCCTCCCATTATGCCTTTTCCCATAACGCCATGCTATGAAGCGAGAAATGCAAATGCTATGTGGGTATCCTTCCATGCACTAAGCCACCAACAGATCCCTCCAACCAGACAAAAATCGCTTGCTTGAAGACCGTTAACAGTTGTCGTGATACATCCTCCCGATTGTGGTGACTGGTGAACTCCCGATGTGGTGGCTTAGGCCCACTTGCCCAAAAGAGCCATGACGAAGCAGCCCGCGAACAGGCAAGCCAGCATGAAGATGATGCGGGTCCTATCGCGAGTGCGGTTGGGGTTGAAGAGGAAGTCCCTGGCGAGGAGCTCCACGAGGCCGGTGTACAGGAGAATACCAGCCGAGATGGAGTCAAGCACACCGGAAACAATCGAAGCAGTGAATCCGGTGCTCTCGTAAGTAGTGGCCAAGCCAAGACCAATAGCAAGAGCGATCGGAGTGGTCAAGCCATAAGCAACGCAAAGAGCCCAGGGCATCCAGCCCAGACGCTTCGGGAAGGGAATCGATGAGAGACGGGCACCAATACCGAGGCCCTCGAAAGCCTGGTGGAAGACGACGACGGGGTAAAGGGTGGAGAATTCCTCTCCGACAACACCGAGGTTGAGACCGATGATGACACTGTGGAACAGGACACCGAACTCGAGGATCAGGAACGCAGCGATCTGCTCGCGGAAGATGCGCTCCGAGGCAGGGGAGTCGCCGGTCAGGAAGGCGTGGGACTCGATGTCGATGGCGTCCTTGCTAGTGTCGTGGCCATGGGAGTCGGTGGTGGGAGAGACGGCGGTGGCACCATGAGCGGGAAGCTGCGAATCCTGATCACCAGAGTGGAGGAACTGGTGACCGGCATGGGCGTCGTGGCCAGTGGTGGACTGCTTGCGAGGCGAGTTGTGGCAGTCGTCGTGAGACTCACTGCTGTGACCCTCGTCGGTTGAGTTGGCGCCGTCGGTGCTGTGGCCGGGGCAGGTGGTGATAACCTTCTCCACGCTGACGTCGACCTGGTCCTCGTACTTCTGTTCGACGTACCATTCGGCGCCGAAGTCCAGGAGGAAGATAAGCATCACAGCAGTCATGGCGATGGCAGGGGGCCAAGAGTAGGAGTCCCAACCCTTGCTCATACCGACGCAAGAGGCGGGGCCGATCTCCTCGTAGGCGGGGTCGAGGAGGTGGATGAAGGCGGTGGCAATGATCACACCCGCGCCGAAGTAGCGGGCGAAGAGGTACACATAGCGGGGGATGCGCAGGCGAGGGATGCGGGTGGCCAGGACCGGGAAGAGAGTGGTCATAGAAGACGTGGCCAAGATGACGAACAGGGCCGAGATGCGGAGGCCAACACGACCATCATAGTCGTTGGACGATCTGTTGAGGTAGCAGACCACGGCCTTGGGGTCCGCGGTGTCAAGGTCGACGCGGTGAGGGTTGAACGGCACGTAGGCCGAGGGGGCGTCGGCAGCGGAAGACATGTTTGTTGATTAACTATGATACTCGTCAGATGGCGTTGACGAGGAGAAAGATGATGAGGTTTTAGGTGGAAAAGGATGAGAGGAAGTTGATGCGTTGAAGAGATTCAAGGTCACGCAGAACATGAGCAGTGCTGACTACACAACGCGAGGGGCCGAGGTGGGGGGACTCTGTCCGACGCGCGAAGTCGGAAGGAGCCTAGTGAACGATGGATGAACGACGTACCTGAGCGACGTGGCACTTGTTGTCTTAGTTAGTGGAGTAGACTAGTAGAGTCTGGCCTCTCTTGATCGTCGCGCTGGAGCTTGTTGCTGTTTGGCAACTTGAAGTTCGCAGACCAGCTGTTGGTGAGGGAAAGGAAGAAGTTGAGATTGCTTCCAGAAGGAAAAAGTTTGTGGGATTTTATAGGCAGCAGGTCTGCAGGTTGGAATCAGAAAAAAAACCAGATTCCAGAAAGGTGTCCTGTCGTCCGAACTGCTGCAATCAGCCGCCTGCGTGGACTGTGTATTGTGAACTGATGGCACAAGGACGAAATGGAGTGACGGTAACGGTGGTAACCTGAACTTTTCTTATTTACCATCGAAGGGAAGCCAAGGTAAATATCTGCGACCGGGACCGAAAATCGGAAGATGCAGTATAATGCCCGGCAGAATTTTCCATGCCTGACCCGCGGGGTTCTCAAGGATCAGGATGATTTTTTGAGGACCTTGATGGCCAAAAGGGACGTGACTGGGCTCCTCCACCTTGACCTTGTTGGTTGGCCTGCTCTTCTTGTTGGAAGGAAGGAGGGAGCGCCAACGGACCGCATTGGCTGCACCTCTGGCATATTCGCTCCCACCACCTTCCATTCTGTCAATACGGCTTGCGGCTCCGGGGTCGTCGACTTACAGTTCGGAGACTTGACGTCGTCCATCGGCCATCACCTGTGCCGTCAATCCCGAGTACAAAGTAACCTCTCGTTCACTCGGCCACGAAACACGCAATTCTGGGCTGGGGATCATCAAAAGTATATAACACGGTGGAGAGAAGACACGAATCTCAGGGTCATTCATTGTCACGTCGACCCGGCGCATTTGTGCCTTTTTAAAGCTACTTCCTTGCGCAAAGATTGTGATGCATTTTGGAGTTTGGACCCCAGAAGAGGTTGGCCGTAGAGGTTCTCATTTGTGGTCTGTGCGTCGGATGGATGACGCATGCATGACCTGTCTGCCGTTTGAAGCTTGACTTCGTTGTGGAAACAAACAGCAGCTGGTCATTTGTCAAATCACTGACTGGGCGCTAGGATGGAGATTAGGATCACATCACTGGTGGATTTCGTGATGGTCAAGCTTTTTGTCAAGCTATGATGTCTCCACTGATGTTGCGGGGAACTCTTCCTCCGCTTCCGACGTTTGGGGTTGGGGCACTTGGAGGTTGTGAGACCCGACGAGGGACAAAGAAGGCGTCCAGATTGTACTCGCGCTTCGCAAGCAAGGTACAATCTTCCGAATCAGCATTGTTTGCCGCTGTGATGGTGAAATCCGTTCGATATCTCGTGATTTTTTCGATCTGGAATCTTTGTGCCAACGGTCGCCTTGTTGGATAGAGCCGCTCGACGGCAGTGATGGAAGCGTTTGTCGCGGGAAAGCAACCAATTGGAGACGACAGGGCCCTGATTACTAAGAGCGACCCAGGGCGGTCTGAGACAAAGATTCATCAGTCATCTTATTGTCAGAGGCCAGGGGATCCACTGGGCGTGCACGTGCCCAATTGGGCTGGGATATGCGGGATTTATCCAGATACTAGAACTTCGAGTCTGCAGAGCCAATCTTACACACACAGACACAATTAAGCTACGTTAAACCCCATATCAATTATTACTAGTAATATTATAATCAAGAGTCTTATTAATTCGACTGTTAAAATTATTGCCAGTAACGACAACCGACTAAACGATTGCCAATAATATCTACGACTAAAATTAATAGCGTTACCCTTAAAGGCCCTAAGGATTAGCCGGTTTAAGAAGATACTTTTATTTCTATAGCTTAGAACTTGGGTCTTTAGAAGTATATTGATTTAAATAACTACGTTCTCTAGCCAACCGAACCAATAGAACCCAATATTACTAATTATTAAGGGGAAATTCCCGTTAAAGAAATTAGAGAAATTAAAAAGGATAGGGAAATTACCCTATGTATTACCATTAAATTTTGTATTTTCCACTATAAATATAATTATTATAACTATATCATTGAGAAGTCGGATTGGCGTATAGAGGTTAAAACTTTCTTTAATTTAGATATTAAAAATATTATATTAAATTGCTAAATATTTAAAACCGTTTGAAATAATTATTAGGAGACTAATTTTATTAAATATATCAATTTATATAAATAGTATAATAATTTTAATAAATTTACCGCTTTTAATAATTGTAAAATAAAGAAGCTCGCCTAAATTAAATTTATTAATATTTTTAAACCTCTTAGTAGAGTTAATTATAATTAGTATAATTAGACTTTTTATTAGGAGGTGGTTATAGCCCTCTATATTATTAGAGGAATTATTAGAATAAATAAATTAAATTTATAGTTCTTAAAATTCTATATTATTATGAAGTCGAATCTTTATACCACTTAGGTAAGTAAATACCAATTTTAGTATAATAAGGAGATTAAGAGAAATTTTAATTTTAAATTTCTTTCCGTATTATAATTAAAGACTTTTATAAAATAGTATAGCGAATACTATTTAGGGAAAGGGTCGCGCCCCCCTATTTAAGAGTATTACGTTCGTAATTATATTAAGTAATGAACCTATTAAAGAGAACGCTTCTAATAATAAATAAAACTTTAATCTAGAGGTAAAGGGACGTGGAGAGGCTATAAGTAAGAACGGTAAATTTAAGAAGAATATTAATAAAAATAAGTGTACCTCCTCCTTATTTTTACTAGCGAATAAATAATTATATCGATTTTTATATAAGCTTTATAAATAATTGAACTATAATTTAAATAAGTATTATTATATTAAATTATAATTAGTTTTTAAAAGCTAGATTAAAAATGTTATTATTAAGAAGCGTGCTTATATTAATTTGAAAAAGGATAAAATATTTGAAGAAGCTATTAATTATTTGCGAATGTAATAGGATAATAAGGATTGAAATAATTAATTCTATAGTTGCTAGGTAGGTAAGAGTAATTTTTTAATATTTATAATAAAATATAGTATTGTATATTTATTAAGAGACTTTATAATCTTCGATTTAAGTATAATAATATATATTTTTAATAATGTTAGTTGCTTTAAAAACTTTACCCCTTTAAATATTAATAATTACGTATAAGCAGGAAATAAGTGGATTTTTATAGAGGGGTATAATATTATTATAATTACGGTTTAGGACGACGATGGAGATAGAGAGTTTTAATTTCCTAATATCGTTTTAGTATTGAATATAGTTTATAATTTTTTTTTTAAAAAATAATTCGAGGATGAATAAATTTATTAGGATTATAAGAATAATTATTTATATTCTCGCTTTACGAAATCCCTTACTTATTATATCCTCTTTAAATATAAATAATTTATATTAAAATATATCCTTCTATAAAATAGCGCTAACTAATTTTCTTTTACTATATAATATATAAATTATATTAAGCGGAACCCCTAAGAGGGTAAGCCCCTTTATTAATATTTTTAATTTGGCTACCCGGCACCCGAAACTTTAATTAAATTAATATAATAAAAATATAGCGTACGATTTAAGGAATTAGATATAATATATTACGAATTATATATTAAAATTAAATTAAAACGTTAAGTATATAGAAAAGTTCGTAACTATTTAAAGGGCCTTAGGTTATAATTAGTTATCGATTTCTTCTTTTATAAAGAAGTGAAGGTAGGGGGTTAGAAATACTTAAATTTAATAGTAATTGTAGATCAATAATTTAAATTCGTTTAAATATATTATATAGGTAATAGAGAAGCCGAATTTATTATTACGTATTTAGAATCCCTTTATGTAGGGTTATAGATTTAATACTAGATTATACCTCGGGTAATCGAATACGATAATAAAATAATTAGTAATAAAAAAATTATTATTTAATTTACCGTGAAAAAAATTAGTATTACGCCTTTAGCGCCTTATACATAAATTTAAAACGGCGCCGTAGAGCGTTTAAGGGGTATAATGAAAATTAAGGGTATAATAATATGATTGAATATAAATCTTCCTTACGAATTATAAATAGAAATTATTAAAATAGTTATATACTTATATAATTTAACTCCTAAAGCGGAATATTATTAGGAATCTTCTTAAAATTAATTTAAAACGTACTATTAATTTAGAAACGGTATCGTTATTCTATTAAACCCCTCCTTTACTATTATATACTTTAAAATATATAGCTATAAAGCCTTTACTCTTATAATAAAAACTATAAAAGAATGAAATAAATTAATAAAGTTTAAAGGTTGTACTTAAGTCGACTATTTAATTAAATATTAATTAACGAATATTTATAGGATTTGGAATCTTTATATTAATTCTATTATCATTATACGAAATGTTATATTTAATAAAGACGAGGTCTTTCTTAGTAGTAATATTAAAGAAATTTATAATACCTTTAATATCTCTCTTAAAAAGTTAATTGTATAATCAAGAGATTTTTATTAAATAAATATTGTATAAATAAACGTCCTATAGGTCGAAGCTATATGTAATGAGTCTGAACGAATATTGCACAGCGAGCAGTCGTATAAAGTTAGAATGCTATATTTGACAAAGAGAGCAAGAAAGAAGACTGTACCAAAAGGGTGCAGTTGAAACAAGGTTTTAAAGTGCGGCGCACAAGCTAGGCAGGCTAAGCAGTCGGGTAGGTCCAGCCAACTAGAGGGGGTACATTAGCCTTAGCGTCGGCTAGCTATATATAATTGGCTTAGTAATAACTAAACTTAACCCTTAGGCTCTAGCCCTATAATATTACCCCCTTACTCCTCCCCTTTAGAGAGCACGGCCTACAATATAAAATATATCGCAGCTAAATATACGAAAATAACCAAAATCTAGCACAACCGCACCCAACCAAATACCTATCTAAACAAGGAAAACTAACAATACTAAAAAAAACAAAATTTCTTTCTAAGCCCCTAAATAAACGCTACACTACACCTACTTACTACTCGAATTAATAACTAGCGCGCCTGCTATTACCTATACAAAATTATGTTATAAATTAAATATTAAAATATAATTAGAAGATATTTCTAGACCTCGCCTATTTAGAAAATACTTTATAAAAATAATATATACCCGCAATAAAATATAATCGAAATTATTACCCAATATTTCGTATTACTCTACTTCTCTTACTAAGAATAACTACTGTCTCCTTCGCCAAGGAACGGCCTTAATAATCCTATACTTACAAAATATAATATTTACTACCTCTAGGGTTATATAATAGCAAATACTAGTATCTAATTAACTATACGTAACTAAAGGCGAATATCTAAGTAGTAAATAGGCTCCTTATAAGGATAAAGAGATTGCTAAAATTAAAGGGGTAATAGCCGCTATAGAGAAGAAATATTAATTAATGGGTAGAGAGCTATTAAAGTAATTTTTAAATATCGAAATTATTCGAGACTGAGAAAAGAAATTAATTTGGCTATTATAATATAATTATATTTAGAAGATCGCGGAGAAGGTTAAGTGTATAAAGAAATTATATTTTACGCCTATAATTACGGAGGAATTCTTACTTTATTAAAATAGCGTAGCCCTGTACAAAATTTACGTATATTAAATTAAAATTAGTTCGATTCTCTATATTATTATTACGTCGCGACTAAATATAGTTTTCCTGGTCCTTAAATTCGCTTAATTCAATTTAAACCCTAATTTAACGTATTATATAGTTATAAATAGAATACTCCTTTACCTTCTAATAATTTAAAATTATACTTTTTAATTAATTAGTAAAAATTATTGGGACTTCTATATTATAATTAACTCTTTATTTATAAATAATTCTTTTAATCGAGAGAATTTACAAATATTCGTATTTAAACTACTAAGCGCTACTATTAATTAATATCATAATAAATAAAATATAATTATAATTTTATTTATGGAGGCTGAACTATTATTCCTTAGCTAAGGAATTAAAGAGGTAATCTACGCCCGCTATTTCTGTAACGAAATTACCTTAGGATTCGAAAATTAAGAGGCTACGCCTATAGGCTATAATAATAAATAAACGATATAATTTATTATAAAGGAAGGAATTTGGTTCGTAATTAAATTTAAATACGTTAATATATATAAATATTAGTTAAAGTAAGCGTAAGAAAAGAAATTAATAGACGTAGTCTACATACCTACCAAAAAATAGATCGCGGATAGCCTTATAAAGAGCCTCCTTCCTATAATATATTTAAAATTTATAGAGTAGTTAGGATTTATAGAGTTATAGCGGCTATAAATTCAACTACGAGAATTTTATAGCGGAAATATCATTATAAGCCGTTTAAAGGGTATAGAGGACTTTATAGAGGAGGATTTGGGCAACGAATCGGTAAATGTGACGGTAAGTATAATAAGGTAAGATTTTTACGAGTGAAAGTTTAAAAGCTATTATAACGAGGAAGTAATTTAGGAATAATATTATTTTTAGCTAGTTTTGGGAGGATTTCAGGGTATTTTAAGGTATATCTAAGTAGATTTAGTATAGTTTGTATACTAAATTTAAGAGGGTGTGTTAGAGGCTAGGGGATCTATTGGGCATGTACGTGCCCAGTTGGGCTGGGATATGCGGGATTTATCCAGATGTTAGAGCTTCGAGTTTGTAGAGCCAGTCTTACACACACAGATACAATCAAGCCACGTTGAACCCCATATCGATTATTACCAGTAATATCACACTTATCTCATCAGGGTCTAGCCCTGGCTGTCTTTGTTGACTTTGGACGACTTCTGGACCTGGTTCTCGGCCGTCATGGAAATGGCTGATGGTCCCTTCATTTTGAGACCATGTATTCATCCGAGACATCAGCCTCTTCGTACCTCATCAACAGCTTCCCAGCTTTCGCGCTGACTTTCCAAGCGTGCGGATTGTCCTTAGGTACACAGGACCGCATTGTTAGAGGTGGCTTACGACAAAAGTTTCACCAACATGTCACCGACTCAGCGCACTTACCGAGCCTCGGTGAGGTGACGAGACACAACAACGGACGTTAAATCCTTTTATGGGCGGGAAGTGGAAAGTAGTACGGTGACGCGATAACTCCATTGTGCGGCGGAGGAAAGCCTCCCCGTTTACCCTGCACCTGGGAAAAGAAATCAGATTGTCTCATCTTGGTGACCTTGCTACTCATATCACCTTGTTATTTCCGGAGTTACCTCGCTGCTGTTCAGATCGCATTGCAGCATACGGCATACCATTAGCCGCGCCGTCAGTTTCACTGCTCATTCTCGAGGTGCACAACACTTGGCCGGTTCACGCCGGTCCGTCCCGGGCTATTTACGCCGGCTTCATGGGTAGGAGACCGGAGAAGGCACTTGGGCCCGGGCCGGGAACGGACGGGAGGACGGACGAACGACTCACGGACCATGGTGAGCTTGTTCCCCCGGGTGGCCATGTGCGGTCACAGGGACAAGAGCTTCGGAAAAGGTAACCTTCCTCACGGGCAAACACCTTTTGTGTAGCAAGGTGACGATGGTGCGCCGCAAACACTTACCTAGGTGAGGCAGCCCGTGTCACGGAACTTTGTGCTTTTTCTGGAAGCTTGGGATTATTCTGTCGATTGCGTCAACGGTATTCCAGTTGTACCGCCTGTGTTTGTGTAGAGGTAGTGAAGCTGTGATATGGACTGGTTAGCACTAACAACTGACTACTGCCCCACCGAGGAATGCTGTTAGTGCAACCGTCTGCAATCTACACACTTTCTTTCACCAGTATCTGTTTGGGCGGCTTTCGTCACAAACCATGATGAAGTCAAAACTCGAGCATCAGGATCGCGTCGTTTTTGCTAAATGGGCATGGTCAGTTTTTTTTCCTCCGGTATGACGAGGAGATGCGCACCCAACTAATCAGAACGCCATGTCCGACCATGTCAGCGCCACAGTTCGACAACATCCGAGATACTCAATCTGCACTGGACATTCTGCACCGAACTTTCCTGATTCCGTCCCAACGACGCGCTCGACAGTACAGGTTTGATCGATTGTTTGCTTTGACGGAAGCGACAATATTCATGGCCCTGATGATGTTTCCAAGACGGAAGCGATCCAACCCGGATGTTGGTGGTGGACATCGGTGGACAGTTGTGTCGATGGTACGCCAAGCGGACTTGGTTTAGGGGCCAGCAGGAAGACGAAGGCAAGGCCGAGACCGATGGCGATATCAGACACTGTTATGGCAGCAGTCATCAAAGTCTGCCTTGGAATTACCGAAAAGACCCCCTTTCCACATTTCAAAAACAGACATCTTGACCACGGGCACAGCAGCGGGAATACGTGGGTGAAGGGAAACCGTTGAGATTCTTTGTTTCTGTGATGGTGTCGTCACTTTTCTGAACAAGGACAAGGCCCTGAAACTTCGGCGCTTCTCAGGCACAGGTTTTAGCGGTGTGGATGCGGTGGATTTCGGTGGATTCTCGTGAGAAAGAAGCTCACTGTTTCCTTCCTCTTTCAGTGATAATAAGCGACACCGATAATTGTTAGCGCTTTATGGCGTTAGACGCTGTAAAGCCCAACCCTCGTCCTTGCCCTGGCGAACGCCCTGTCCGTCCACGGCAGTACCTGAGGTGTCTCAGATGCAAGCAAGCCCCTGCAGACAGCCCAGATACCCCCAATTTCCCCAACAATTACCCCGGAAAAGGAAGGACCTCCGATCTCCTTTCCCGTTTCTTCCCACTTGTCACTTTTGTTTCTTGTTTCAATGTTGCAAAATCTAAACATGTCGCGTATCACCAACTGCTGCACATCACCCACCATCGTTGGCATGAGCCTGATCGACAGTTGGCAACCGTTGATAGCCCAACATCATAGCCGCAAGCAGGATTTCAAGCAGCAAACAATTGCTGATCCGGACACTGCAACCGCAACAGGAATTCAATACAACGTTCGATACGGTCAATACGACGCAACATCCGCCTTCATTTCGTTTCCCCCCTTGTCTACTATGCTGTACCTGGATCCTCCCTCCCCCAGATATCGGAATCCCGGCATGCCCCCCGGCACTTGCTCGGTACCCTCACCCAGGTAATGTACAATTCCCCGTCGACAATGTCTCACTTTCTGTCAGTCTAATATCTGGTCACCCGCGATACAGCACGATATGTCACGATAGTTGACGATACTCGAGGGCAATCATTGCATCTATTGTTCTCTAGTGTATCACCCACGCTTGTACAACTCGACCAACACTCCTGGCGAGACATGCTCCTTCGTGTTAGCCCTTGTCTATACAAAGAGCAAACAAGAAGCCATCCGAGCGCCCAACAGAAAGCCACCAGGGCCACATCACCAGGGCTGTCATCAAGGAGGAAGTGACTTTTGGATACTACGCCGCCCAGACGCCACTTAGGCCACCACACCAACTTCTTTTGTCTTGTACGCCAACCGTCCGGCACTTGAAACCCCTTGCTCCCTTTTGGGCTGCGACCAGGATCCGGACAAACACTTACAAATCCACCCTGGACGGACAAAAAGACAGAAGAAGCCAAGTCACCCCCGAGTCGAGGAGACCGAAAAAAAAACCTGCGCCAGATCTTTGACACCTTGACCAGACATGAAACTATCCTCGGCTTAGGGAAACAGACAGGATCATGTCCCAATCAGCAATGTGGACCGACGATGTCGATGCAGACCCGGACTCGGACCTCTCCTCGAGCGAGTGTAACGTCGACTACAGGAACGACAGGGAACAGGTCCACGTCTACCACGCCTACGCCCCTCAGATGCCAATTCAGTCACGGACGTTTCTTGCCGCACCCCACTCCACGAATTCCATACTATCAAGATCGGCCTCCATAGGCCATGCTCATACAACTGATGGCCATGCCACCCCCCAACCGATTCCGAACTTTTCTCACCGACTCTCCCGGATCCCATACCATCACCACCATGTTCCTGAGCTGTTGACCAGTCGAGACGACCTGAGCGTCACCGCCAGTCCTTCAACACCCTCACCCATCACGCCTACTTGTAATGGGTTTCAGTTCGACGACATTTTCCACCCCTTGTCGACCCCTTACCGTTCTCGCCTCGGTTCAACCACGTCCAGCTACGGACAGAGGACACCTAGTTTGCGGCCAGTATCGAACATGTCGAATCGCTTTCCCGACGCCGATGCGGTCTCTATCACAAATAGTTCAAATATAGGAACAGCCGATACAGTATCCAGTCTATCCAGCTTCGAAACCCCGAAAGTCCAACCCGGTAGCGCACATATGCGGTCGATATCCATTGGCGGGCCAATGTTGAAGATGGACGGGTCGCCGGAGAAGCAGTCACTGTCGTCAACCACTAGCGGGTCATCAGAGGAGAGGAACCGAAACGCGAAGAATGCATCGCGTCGGATGGGCGGGTTACTGGCTCGCATCTGGCCTGGATCATCGTCGAGCGAGAGGAGGAATGCGTCAGCGGACCACAAGCGGTCCCTAACATCACACAAGCTAGAACGACCGAAGCTCGAGAATGTCCCATTACCAGGCGCCGAACCATTTGGACCATCATCATTATCATCGTACACCAGCAGATCGGAATACGGGCCGCCGTCACCGTCGCACTCGCTTGATGTCCAGAGGCGGGGAAGCTCAGCAGGGGAAGATGGCGGTGCTGCGTTTGGCGTCGACTTGAAAGAAAGTATTAGGATTGCACCTTCAAAGATTCGAATATCCCACCGAGGGAAGAGTACCTCCTACCGCTTGTTTCCTTTGTCAGTGTACAAATGCTGCGAATTTATACGAAACTCGGGTACGTCTTGCACCCTTCCTCCCCCCGTCTCTTGGCACATCACCACTAACCACCTCGCCGTCTGACCTCCAGGTTGCACCGACCCATCGCTCTTCGCATCTACGGGCAACTCGCACAACGTTGCCCACCTCAAAAACGTGTTCAACACCGGCCCATCCTACGGCGACGAATTTGATTTCAACTCCCTAGGTCCCGAAGGCGACCCCTACACGCCCTACGACGCAGCCCGCTTGATCCTCATCTATCTTCGCGAGCTACCCAAACCGGTCGTTTCGCAGTCCGTACTGAAAAGCTGGATCATGCTCGCCCGACAAGAAGGGGCAATAGAACCTGCCGCTTCCAAGCTAGAAGACATGGGCTTTGATTTCTGGACAGAAGCACTAAACCGGCTCTCGCTCCACAACCGAAACCTCGTCAAACACCTCCTCGACCTCTTCGCCGAGATGTTACTACGAAGCCGAGCAACAGCCAACATGCTCGCCGAAGCACAAGCAGCACACGGGAAAAGAAAAGGCGTGCTGGGGGGACAGGGACAACAAGGTCAGGGGCAGGGGGTGGTGCACGAAGTAGACGCGCGCCGGCTGGCTTCCGAGCTGTCGAGCAGTATGTTTCACACGGATAATATGAATCTGGGGAAGAAGACGGCGGCACATCCTACGCTGGCGCTGGCGTTTTTGATCAAGAAGAGGGGGGATTATGCGGCGAGTATTGGGAAGGCGGCGACGGCACCTGGACGGGCAAGGAGAGAATCGGAGCTGTTTTTGCCGAGCACGAGGGAGATTATGGAGTGGAAGGGGGGGCAGAGTTATTCGTGATGATAAGACACTGGAAACTCGAGACTGCATGGGGTTTGGAACAGATGGTGGGCGCCAACGGTTCGACATTTTATATGTTTAGATGAGGAGGAACATGCGCATCGTAGCTGGAGCTTCGTGGAGGCGGATATTTCCTTGTTGTTTGCAGTACGCGGTTCGAAATTGGACATTGGAGTATTGGACATTGGAGTATTGGACATTAGAAGCATGGATCAATGTGTCAGAGATACCCCCAATTTGATTTTCGATTTCCTTTGTTACCTGATTCTTGGCTTGGAGATGAGTACCTTAAGCATTGGTTCCTGGTCTTTTGTGCTTGTGATTCGTCGTCATCGGCTTACTCCTTGGCTCTCGAGCGTCTGGATGCAGAGAAAACCAGATTACCAGAACACTTGTCATTCTCTTTATCGCCGCCACTCCTCGAGCACCGTCACCATTAGAAGGTGCATCTGAATATTTTTTTCGGACTTCAATTGAAGGCTGCCCGGACGCCGGACTACAGGGCGCCTTGCCTCGACCCTGTTTCATACGCACCTGCACAACGCTCACCGGCACACCGGGTCTGAGGTTGCAACCATCGCTGCCATCCCCTCTTCAGGCCTCGCCCGCCTGCCGTTACACATGGAGAGATACCCTCATACTTGATCTTGAGTAGTTCTTACACCGCAGGTTCTCCCCAACAAGATCTGTACCAAAGGGGTCAGCCCCGAAATCGAGGGCATGTCCTTGAACTGCATACCTCCATGCAGCTTCCGGTCCGGTGCATATACAGAGACCTGTTATCTGCAAAGCTGACATGTGTCAATGTCTCAACACCATCCACGGAGAAAATTCTTACATCTACGATCGAGTTTCTACGGCGTACCACCGAAGGGGTTAAACCCTCTTCTATGCTTAGTACGTTGAGCACGGGCGATATAAAAGCCACGGAAGGTGATTCAACATCAACGAAGACCGGTGTAAATCAGGGATACATCGCCCTATCAAATGTCAATGTCGTACTGCATGAAGTTATTCACGTTGATATTGACCTTGGTGTTGTTCTCGTCATAGAGTTGTTCCCCACGTGTACTGGCCCGGTTGTTGTACCTTATGTTACGTCCCATGTTCGTCACTGGCCAGGTTACTGTCAATACATATTGCCCGGACCGCCGTGCAAGTGCTGAGCCTGGGTGGGTACTGTGTATGCTGAATACTTGCTTTCCTTTTGCCTCAAATTTTCCTGAGGCTCTATCCGTCACACTTGATATCTCCGGGTGGGCATGCCGCATATGCCGGCCACGGGTGCTTACTCATACTGCCGTACTAGTATCAAGGATGGTTGAGCTTCCCTTGGCTGACCCCGAGTGTTTGCTCAGGGAACCCTGGGAGTGGTCCCGCATGGGATGTCAGCTGTTGAATCAATGGTCCGATTTTGGCTCGTAAAGTTCTGTATCTGAAGTTTGCAGAGTTGCGCTCGAGGCATCTAGATTTCGTGATGTGTTCGAAGGTGAGTATTCGTTGTTCACATTCTCATCGGCATCGACATCGGCATCGTAGTCATTGTCGTCGTCGCTGTTGTCGCTACCGTCTTTCTTATCGCCATCGTCATCGTCATCATCTTTTTCAGTTCTCCATTTTCTCTCATTTTCCTTCTGCTCTCTTCCCTCTGCTCCTTCACTTCTCCTTCTCTTCTTCGCCTTCTTTTTTTCTCTTTCTTTTCTTCACCTTCTCGCACAAAGTCGTCACTTGCACTGAAGTCAGATCACGGGGATATATCGTTGGTCAAAGGGTACTTCTCCTGTATCACTGGCCTGGGAAGTCCGCTCTCATATACTATCTTCTCTCTTGATCCCGATGGCCTGGCGTGCCGATTCGGCACCTCGTCCGTTTGGGACACCCCATCTCCGGTTCCTAGGTCCCGTTGGTGCCGGACTCGGGACTCGGGCCTTATCTCATTGGCTTGATACAGCTATATCCGGATTGGGAATATCATCCGGATTAGGAATAGCTTCATGGATTGTAACATTTCCATTCTCTTTCTTCTCCTCTTCCTGTCTTCTCGGCCTTCTGTTCTTATTCTCTTCTTCCCCCCCTCGTTATCATGATGAAGAAGTGATGACGATAGGGTAGTTATGGCTCGTATGCGCTCAAGAACTACGTTCTCGAGCAGATGACAGGATGTAGGAAGTTTCCCCCCCTGTGCGAAGGCAAACCATAACCACAAGTACTAGGGACATTGGCCCTCTTCTTCCTTGACATCGTCTCCGTTTCTGCCCTACCCGTCCTTTCTCAGATCACGGACCGGTAACTTTCCCGTGATAAACATACTTACTGTATGATCCTTACTATCCGAGCGCGCACCGGCTGCTATGAGCTGCTAGAAGCTGTCAAATATGCGAGACCGCCATGAGCGTCCAGTGACCAACGATGGGATGGCCAACCAAACGATGCTCATACCCTACCGCTTTTTTCCATTCCCGTCGGATTTATCCCCACGTTATACTGGCCAATGAAGTAGTTTCGTGAGGTCTGCGTGCTACGTTGCGGCGTCGACCTGCATGTTGTTCTCAGATACAATTGGCCAAATAGCGTGGGGATAAATCCGACTTGAATGAAAAAAAGCGGTACATCGTCGCCCACCATCGCACTTTGCCAGCTCGTCAATGCACACCGCCGAGCTAGGTACACAGTAATGCCCTGCCTTTTCTGTTCCGCAGTACTGCTCTGCCAACTATATGTCCGTGCCTGGAGCTGGAACAGAAACGTTTCTGCAACCTCTCATTCGCCAATTCCCACAATTTTTTTTTTTTTTTTTTCATTTTTTTTTTTTTCGAAGCGAGAATCAAGGCCACCAAAGCGGACATCAAGGCTTCAAGTACATCCTGTCGTGCGAGCTAAATATCGCCGGCGCCCAGCATATGAGCCATTTGTTACCAACGGAAGCGACGTGTCCCGATGTCCCGTCCTCCGCATTTCCAACACTCTGCTTCCGAAGTTCCGATATCCCTCTGACCACAACCAACCGACTTCTTACTTTATCTGGACGGCAAACTGGCTCCATGCTGTCATCTCGTGGTGCAGAGAAGGAGTGTGCCTGGCCGTAGACAAGCAGATGTGCATGCTAGATATCCTCTTGAGCCTTGCTCACAGGAGGAAGGAGGAAAGCTATCGAGTCCCTCCGGGAGTCCGGCTTGCTGTTCGGTCTCGCTCTCTTCTGCCAGGTCTACGGCTCTGCCGGCTCGCCCTGCTTCTGCTGATTGTGTTCATTCCTCGTTCCATTCCATGCATTATCTGGCGTTGATGGTTACACCCCGTGTCTGTCCACCTGTCGTCTTACTGTCTGCTTATCATATCGAACTGATCGAAGTCGTGACGCATCGGCGCCCTTCGATTCCCGGTGTTTTTCACAATCGTGCCCGTCTTTCCCAGTCATCTTTCCAAGTCGTCTTATCGCTACACATGAGGAAAATGGAATATTCTTGCTGGGTGGAGACGTCGCCTGTATTACTGTCCGATGCCACCTTATCCTCCCGCCGTATCTCCAACACTCGTTCCCGGCATGGTTCTGGCCACAACCAAACGACCCATCACTCATTAGAGGGCAAACTAACCGCTTTCCGGCAATCTTAGCGACCTCGTTTGTTCTACTGAGGGGTAGGATAGGGTTTCGACTGCGGGGAAGCTGGAGGGGGACGGGATGGCGTTTCAGACTACGCCATTGTAGATAGCCACAGATAGCTATCGCCGAATCGGATCACCACCTGTGTTTGTAGTGGTATCAACGTCTGGACCAACGTAGTAGTGTCATAACGCTCCATGCTACTGGTCTGAGGAACTGAGTCAAGGCCTCGACCAAGCTGCCAAGCACGAAAGGATCACATGCCACAGTCCCAAGGTACAAAGACCAGATGGATGTACGTGAGAAGTTGCGTGAATTTGCCTTAACAATATCCATGATGCCCGCTCTCGCTGCGTTGAATCGGTGCACGTAGACGTTGGCCTTTGTTCCCTACCTGTTCTCTCTTACAATTTCATGATTGTCCTGACTCCTCGCTGACAGTTTTTCAACCCATATAAAGAGGCAACCACCCCAGGATCAACCGTATTTCCCATCATGGACAGCTTCAACAGCACTCCCGATAGCCCCTACGCCATGCCATCCCTCCAAGCAGCCATCGATCTCTTGCCCGTCAACGGCAGCAAGCCGGAGAATGGCAAGGCCGATCAAAGGCTAGAGTAAGTCACCCTCAAATCCGACGACAACACCAAGCTAACCTTCCACGCCAGCAATGCCTGCGATACCGACAACCTCCCCACCAACCTCTACCCCAGCATCACCACCTCCAACCATCCCAACCTCAACGAGTTCGCTTCCTCCCACCTCATCAACTTCGGCACCACGTTCCTCCCCGACCTGATCATCTCGGCCTCCCACCTCTCCCTCTTCACCGCCCCATCCCCTGGTTCCTCGTCCCCGTACGGCCGAGCGATAACTGACTGGACGTCTGGCCAAATGTCTTCCCTCCTCGGGCACTCGCACCCCGAAATCGTCTCAGTAATCACCTCCCACGCTTCCTCTCTCGACCACCTCTTCTCCGGCATGCTCTCGCCGCCCGTGTTGAACCTGGCCAAGCGGCTGATAAGTGTCCTGCCAGAGGGATTGGACAGAGCCATGTTCTTGTCCACGGGTGGTGAGTCGAACGAAGCCGCGATCAAGATGGCCAAGACGTATACCGGGAAGTTTGAGGTCGTGGGTTTGGGAGCGAGTTGGCATGGTGTTACTGCGCAGGCGAATAGTGTGCAGTATCATGCTGGACGGAGGGTGGGATGGCCGTTGGTGCCCGGGGGGTTGATGTTGCCGAGTCCGAATGCTTATCGGTGTCATGAGGGTTTCAGGAGAAAAAAGACGACTGGGAATGGGGAGGGAAATGGGGCGAAGGGTGGAGGTGGGGAAGAAGGGGTCGAGGAAAATGGAAAAGAAAGTCAGGGGGAAGATGAAGAGGAATGGGAATACGACTGGGAAGCAGAAATGCTCTACGGCTGGCGGCTGATTGACCAACAGTCATGCGGCTCACTTGCAGCCGTCATCGTTGAGCCAATCCAGTCCTCCGGCGGTATGCATGTGCTTCCGCCCGGGTACCTCCGCAGGCTCAAAATTGAATGCGAAAAACGCGGTATGCTGCTCATCGTCGACGAAGCCCAAACCGGCATCGGCCGCACGGGGGAAATGGTCGCCGTCAACCACGACGGCGTGGTGCCGGATATTTTGACGTTGTCAAAAACTTTGGGAAATGGATTGCCGTTGTCAGCGGTCATTACGAGCCATTCCATCGCCAACGTTTGTGCGGAGAGGGACTTCCTCTTTTACACCACGCACGTGAACGACCCTTTGCCTGCTGCGGTGGGAGATAAAGTGTTGGAGATCGTCGTCCGAGATGACTTGGTCTCGCACGCTCGACGGATGGGGGAGATGTTGCACTCCGGGCTCAACCAGCTCAAAAAGCGGTATGCGTGCATCGGCGATGTTCGTGGGAGGGGGCTCATGGCCGGGGTGGAAATTGTCGAGGATCGGAGAAAGGGGAAAGAACCTGGGATGGAGCTGGCGAAGAGGATTGGGGATCGGGCGTATGAACTTGGGTTGTGGTGTAACTTGAGTACGCACCCCAGCTTTGGAGGGTCCTTCAGGATTGCGCCGCCTATCACCATCAGCGAAGAAGAGGTTAGAGAGGGACTGGCGGTCTTGGAGGAGGCGTTCAGAGGGGTTGAGGGGACGTTGCCGCTGTATTGACAGGTAGGTACCTAGATAGCAATGGATTTTGTGTTGTGTTCGTGTGACTGATTTCCACGGGCTGTGGGGAGAGCTCTGGAAGGAGAAGAGGATGGAGGGAGATTGGATGTTATTGACGTTACGGTGAGGTCATCACCATGTCATGATTGGCTGGGGACATTTGTGAGTTGACTGTGGAGTAACTTCCTGTGTACTGGAAGCAACATGGAGCGACTTCGCTGACGAGACAGGATCAAGAGACCGACATAGCACGACGACACGAAGCATCCGTCCTCGGTCCGGTCCTAGATCTCGGGTTGGTTAGGACTTTCCAATCATGATTACCGAACCGATTGTTGAACCATAGCTCTGGGGCGAAGATGTGTTGATGAAGGTCTTGGTTGATTGATGGAACGGAGAAAGAGAATGTGAACAAGAGAGGGAAGTAGAGACCGACTTTATGGCAGCAGAGGGTGGGTGGCCATGCGTGGACCCACTTTTGTTAAGGAAGCCAAGCTGGTGACGACGTCAACACCAATCACGATTTACGGTTACCGAACCCATCACCATTATTGAACAAAAGGTCAGAGAATCGTCGAGGGGGTTGGAGGAGGCACTTCAAGAATTCGAGGGATGGAAGGGAAATCTCAATTGTCATACAGGAGATGGGTTTGGATGGAGATGACTGTTTGTCTTGATCGATCGAGGAGGGGAAGGAACTTCGTCGAAGCTGGCACCCTCGGTCCATGTCTTGCACAATCTGGTCAAAGATTTGTCCAATCCTTCCTGAATCTTTCACAACTACATCCAGCTAACCTGATTGTCAGATGTTCCTGCCTCTATTCCAGCATTCGGCCCCGTCAAGAGTGAACCCGACCTCTAGCAGCTACTCGCCTGAGCTTGAAGCGCCCTCAGACCCAATGTCAACCAAGTGGAAGGCATGAGTCTGGCGGCGCTTCTAGCACATACGAGTATTAGCTCAGGTACGAAGGCCTTCTCGTTCGTCAACAACGTCGATGCATTTAAATGGAATTCGGGGTTCAAGTTGTTGTTGGCTCTTTGTCATTATCGTCAACTTCCACCTCCCTACATTGAACCAGGCCTCAGGTGCTTGCCAAATGAACATTGCACATTGAGTGCACTCTCCGTGTCATCGTGGTCCACTGCATGGCCATACATCATCACTCATCAGTCGTTGCCTTTGAACCCGAGATCGAGGATCACCATCTAGATGTTATGGGTGATGTAGCACCAATCAGATTGCTTGTAGTGAAATTAAATCAATGAATTTACTATCACAAACTTTTGCATTTGGTCCAATTCGACGTTAGTCGGTCTCATGTTGTAGAACTTGTAGACATCATGAGATGTCCGATGATGATACAAAGCCGGCATTGTCAGCGCCACGGCGTCGTCAATCAGCGTTCCTGTCGACGGTTATCAACGGTCATCAACGATGGAGTTGATGCTGGACAGAACACTAATACAACGGGTCTTCAGATGAAGCATCCTGCCTTATCCAGTGGTTTCTTTGTGTGGATCGTATCCACCTTGTGTCAAGGAAGCCAAGACATGGTGATGGCTTCAACATTCTTTACCTGAATGATGGTTGTTGAAGAGGAAAGCTCGAGGAAAGGAAGCTACTGTGGCCGCCATTACAGCACGGCACAAGAGGATTCCTTCCGGCCCTGGGGCCGGTAACAGGATCCGGATCGTCGGGCATGTCCATATCATCACTACGTTGTTCTCCTTCTGCGCAAATTGGGAATTCCCAACATCAAGTTATGTCTATTGCTGGGACGGATTGCTCAAGGAGCGTCGCCATCAGACGAGTGATTCCTTGTTCATTAACCGTACCACTGTCATTGCCACAGTGTCTTCACTCAGCGTTGTCGACGATCTACCAAGAAGGGGCTATGAAATTAGTACTTTGTGGAAGTTTCAACGGTCATCGGCCGATCCATCATGGTAGGGTAGTTGCCATTGGTCTGACTGATGATGGTTGTCAGAGAGGGAAGGAAGCGACCCGGTCGGCATCACGAGACGGCACAACATGGCACAACACGATTCCGTTCAGTCCTTCCTTGGGTCAGTTGGGATTGTCTGTGTCTTCACTCAATCTCCTCCTGGCAAAGTTGGAATTCGGGCGTCAAGTGATGTCCCTTTTGTTGGAGTAGACTGCTCTTGGATTGTCATTGTTTCACGGCCAGCATGGAATCACACTGGCATTGCCATGGTCGATCAGCATCGTCAAGGGTACTGTGCCACATGTATTCCCTCCCTGTCATCCCAACCCTTGGCGTCGGTGTCAGACTGTCGTTGGCGGATCCGAACCCGACCCAAGTTGTCGGATCGTGAGCAACGCCGGCAGCCAATAGCTGACAGCCAATAGCCGATGTCATTCCCCATTTGGTACCACCACACCGGGCACCGTACCACCGACCCATGACGCTCTTCGTCGCCAATCCTTGTACATACTAACTTCTAGTCCCGAGTCAGCTGACTTCGCGTTTCGTATTTGAATCGACGACATCCCTCCATCGCACGTTGTGTCGTCGCCGGCAACTTCTCCTCGTCACCGTCCCCCGCCAACGTACCTGTCTCAACACTCGACCCCGCCAAGACCCCCGAAGACCCCCGAAGACCACTGAAGACCACTGAAGACCGCTGCTTACCTGCTACCCCAATCGCTATTCAACGCCCACCATGGCCCATACCGCCCATAAGAACCCCCTGAAGGAGAAATTCGAGGCGCCCGAGGTCATCGATCGCAAAGCCAAGGTGCTGGCCGAGTTGATTCGAAAGTCGAAGCATTTCATCGTGTTTACGGGTGCTGGGATATCTACATCTGCGGGTTGGTCACCTTCTTCCATCATCGATACTCGTCGGGACTGGAAGCGTTCACCTTGCCTGTTCGGAGGGGGGCACGGGCGCCTCAAGGCCTGACGAGCACCTCTACCGACTCGTCCAAGCGCTTCCACTGCCTGTCAACCTTCCATCTTTGCCCTGCCCTTGCCCTTGCCCTTGCCCTAGCTACCCACTACCAGTCCTGGTGGCAGTCATGGTGCCTCTGTCATTACCTCTCTACTGCCACGGTGGCCGGAAGCATTCGTATTCGTACGTTGTCTGTGGTCTCATGCGGCCTAAGGTAGCTAACACAGATATGACGAATCGAAGGCATCCCGGACTTCCGAGGCCCCGAAGGCGTTTGGACCCTGATGGCCCAGGGGCGACAAGCGACAAAAAAGTTTGTGGACACGTTGCAAGCAATACCAACGAAGACGCACATGGCCCTGGTCGAACTGCAGGAGAGAGGGATACTGAAGGGGCTTATCAGCCAGAACTGCGATGGGTTGCACCGTCGAAGTGGGATACGCGCTGTAGGTTACGGTCCTTCCGATGCGTTGGAACTTGGTCGAATCGTCCATCTGGTTCCTGTGCTATTAGCCAAGTACGATCTGAAAACGAGGGGAGGCGGGAGGCACAGTGGGGTAATTTCCCTTTGACAAGCAACGCTGACCGAAAGTCCGAAACGCGCTTGGGCACGCCATTACAGGACATGATCTCGGAGCTCCATGGAAACACCAACATCGAGTACTGCAAGCAGTGTGGCAAGGAGTTCTTGCGCGGTGTGTACCCTGATCTCTCATTGCTGCGAGCGCCTCTATGACTCTATTCCCGTCTCCGCATAACCAAACCCCGCCACGTTGCTCCGGACTCTAACAGCAGCAGACTTCTACGCCGTAGCACCTGATAATCGACCCCTCCACGACCACCGCACCGGCCGCAAATGCCCGGTCTGCATCACGCAACCACTTCATGACACCATCATCCACTTCTCTGAAGACCTACCTCTCGCCCCCTGGACGCGTGCCGAAGCACACTCCGAGAAAGCCGACCTCTGCCTGGTTCTTGGCTCTTCCCTAACCGTAACACCGGCAAACGAACTACCCCAACTTGTTGGCGAGCGTGCCGCGGCCCAGCAAAAGAAGAAACCGAGGCAGGACGTAAACACGAATCTCGTCATTTGCAACCTTCAAGACACCGACCTCGATTATCTTTGCCTGTTACCAGACCACCGGATATATGCAAGGGCAGACGACTTGATACAGCGAGTCATGAATTATCTCGGACTTTCTATTCCTGACTTTCGTGTACGACGAAGGCTGATTGTGGAAACAGACCTCGATGTAACCCCTGCAGGAGGCAGGCATGTGGTCACTGTTAAGGGCGTGGACGATGATAACACCACACCTGCCAGCTTTTTGAGGACCGTCAAGCTTGTGACAGCCCGGGGGAGGCCACGTATTGTCAAGACTGAGCCCTTCATTCTTGGGGGGAGGGGCAAGATTGGAGATTTGGAGGAGGAGGCCTTACAGAGTGGTGCTTTTGCTGGGGGAGATGAGGCTGCCGTCATGTCGGAGGTACTGACACTGGGTTTGGAATTCATGGGCAACTACGGCGAACCAAGCTGTGAGTTACAGCACATTGTACGGGCGAGCATCCCACAGTCCGGCGCTGCAACACAACAGCCACGCCAGGTTGCTCGTACTGCTTACGAACTTGTTTACAACCCACGTAATGGCGAGTGGGTTATCGAGTGCTTGCAGAGCAGCATGCAGGTTTAGACAGAGCAATTCAATGACACTTGTCCTCCGATTTTTTTTTTCGATTACCTACTACCTACACTATATAAAGTCCAGGTCGAACCCCCGTTTTTTTTTTTCTCATTCCTCTCGATCTACACTGCGAACTCGAAGTCCAAACTGCTTTCAGATATCATATATCTTGCCAGCATTTTCATCTACAAAAACCCTTCGTCAGGTCCACTCTTCTCTTTTTCTCTCGACCCATTTCTCTCCAACCCACCCAGCAACGCCAGTTAACCGTTGCATCCCACCTCCTCGCCAACGCAACCAGAAAAAAGCAAATTTACGACACAAGTCTTAGGATACTGATCCTTAACCTCTGTTTCCTTACCAACCTCCCACTCCTCTTAACACCCTTCCTCCTCTCTCTCTATTTTCTGGTTCCCCTTCCCTGCAACCATGTCCGACATCGATTATCTGGTGGGCACGGTCATCGCCAACTATACGTATGGCGATGTCGCCGTTCCCGCCAATCCTATTGTTCCCGCCGAGCCCGTCTTCCCCGACCAGCCCGCCTTCCCCGACCAGCTTGTCGTCCCTGACCAGCTTGTCGTCCCTGACCAGCTTGTCGTCCCTGATCAGCTTGTCGTCCCCGACCAGCTTGTCTTCCCCGACCAGCCCGCCTTCCTCGACCAGCCCGCCGATCCTGTCCTCCTCGCCGGCTCTATCGTCCCCGCTGAGTTGGCCAACCTCGACAACGGCAACGGCAACGGCAATAGCGACATTCCCCTTCCTTCTGTGGAAGCGGACGATGAGGGGCATCAACCGCTTGGGGAGCTTGTGTACTTCGATGAGCACATGGGACCTCAGGCCGTTGACAACAACAACAACAACAACAACAATAATAGCAACAATACGGTAAGTTATCCCTCCTTTTCTATACTTGTTATCTATTTCTCTTCGTATCCTCGCTGCCATTACCTCGCGCTTGTCTTGGTTTCCTTTCCTTGGGCCCGTTTCGCTTCGGCTCAATACCCCTTTGCTCGGACGTTGTGATCCGGACTTCCAGTCACGTCCTGTCTTTTCCTGGCCTTCCCCTTTGCTTGCCTTCAAGTCCAAGTTGCTTGGCTTTGGTGATCATCAGTCGACTCTCTTCTTGGCCATGATACCGTTCCATCGAGTCACTCTTCCTTTTACCACCCCGCCAACCGTATCTTCATTCCTCACGCCCATCTTGCCATGTCTATGGGATATATGGTCCGTAACTAACATCATTATCATTTAGAACCCCGCCGGCCTACTTCAAGTTGATGTCTTTGGCAATAACCCGCTGAGTAATATGAATGCCAGCACCCCCGGCACGTACCAAGCGGGCAACCTGGACCCTCTTGCGGCGGAATATGCCCTGAGTAGTCTAGGCTCTCAGCCACAGCAGGTGGGTGTGGTACCTGTTGTATCTGCCCCGGTGATGCCGCAGCCGGTTGTTTCCCCGGTGATGCCGTCCCCCTCCCCGTCCCCTGCCCCCAACCAAGAGGGCCAACAGCAGGGACGGCAGGGCCAACAGCAGCGACAACAGGGCCAACAACAGGGACAACAGGGCCAGCAGCAACAGCAGGGACAGCAGAACCAGCAACAAAAGGAGGACAAGCCCTGTGACTTTGCCGACCATGTCCTCCAGAGGACTTGGGTCCTCGAATACCGTACAGTACCTCTAGAGGACCCCAACGCCCTACTGTCCGAACAGTTGAAGGCGTTGTATCCCGATGCCTTTGCGGGTCTTCGCCCGCGCCAACCGTCCCCTGACCAGCAACTCCCGGCTCCCCAGGCTCAGCAACCGGCCGGAGTTCAGCAGCCCTCGCCCCCCTTGTCCTCCGCTCAGCCCTCCCAGTCTCCGCCCCCTGCTGACGCTCCCCGCAAGCGTGGTCGTCCCAAGGGCTCTCTGAATAAGAAGACCTTGGAGAACATGAACCTTCACAGGGTCATCGGCTCCAGCGCGCGGGTGACCAAGAGCGTCAGTAGGGGCGCTAGCATTGAGCCGGATACATCTAAATCAGCAAGCAAGACGCTCACGGAGAGGTTCGTGCTGGCCCTAAGGATGCAAGCCGAGGCCGATGCGGAGTTTAGACTCCTGCGCCGGTACCGACACCAGGAGCATTTCGCACGCATGTCAGGGCAGCCTCCGGCCAACGAGGAGGAGCTGTCTGACGAGCAGTGGAAGGCCAGGTTGGAGGAGGAGGAGGAGGTAAAGGCCAAGTGGAGGCAGGAATTCTTGGACGGCCGTCTCGCCGCGGATCCGAGACTCCGGGCGCGGATCGGCGAGGAGGGGATGATGGTGTTGTTCCCCGGTTTTAGACCGGCAGGCGGCAACACTGGGGCTGATTATGGCTCGGATTCTCTGGTATATAACGGCTAAGATCTTTGTCTGTTGGATATGTTTTCTTTATACGTTCGATTGGCTTTGTCTGTTAGACTTCTCATATTTACCTCTACCTAACGCCATTTGGGTACCTATCTTCCACTCTTCCACTCTGGTGCACGAAGTCACAAAATGGTGCGTAAAGTCAAAGTGGTGCGCCAAGTCATCTGGTGATGATTTCTGGTGTTGAACACAAAAAGGCAGTCCGTCATCTGGTAATCTTACATGGTGTTGCTGTTAATCGTCTACAACCGGGGGAGTCAACCTCCTGCCCGGCCATACCTCCTCTACGTGGATTATGGTCCTCTGGGCACATGCATACTTTCTTCTGACGGGTACATCCACCGCTCCTCCTCGTGTGCGCGTTGAGATTCCCCTTGGAGTGCCCTGAGGTTTTCTCTTGCCATGTTTTTATGCAGCAAGCGCGCTGCACCCTTTCTGACTTCCGAGTGGGCAACTGTCGGGACCGACGGGCTCATGCCCGGCAGAGCCCCTGCTCCGCACCACCCACGATGGGGGAGGCAGCGATATAGGTAGACAGAAGGCACACACCAGTATGAAGAAGGAGGGGCATCACGACAAGAAGGAGCACAAGGCCATGGGAAGGAACACCGAGCTACAGAGGGAAGGAGGGCATTCGCAGATCGAAAGCCCGTGACTGATTGGAAGTCGGGTTGGCCACGGGGATTCCGGTATAAGAACCCGGCCCCTCCAGGACTTTGGAACAGATTCTTTTCTTCTCATCATCATTTTACACATCTTCTACCCATTTCAGTTTTCTTGGTTACAATCATTCTTCGCTCACATTTGGGTGCGCCACCCAACAACCTTTCTCCTCATGCTTCCGACAGTCTTGCCAATCTTGCTGTCGACGGTCATACCAATCTTGCGTCGTTTCTTCCCCTGTGATGCCGCAGGAGGTTTTGGCCCAGGAGGTCTCGGACATTGACTGATATCATGAACGACGAGCTGTACCATCCGGATCTGGTCATCACAACCTCTGCTCCGGCACCACAGCAGACGCTGACCACGAGCAACAACAACTTCACCAAAGTGGTCAAGACCGCAAACCAGCATCTGAGCGCGATGCAGTCTCCTGTGTCGAGTAACAACTCGCCGTTCCGTCAGGGATCCCCACGTTCTGCCACTCTCCAAGACTTCTCCTCTTTGCAGCAGCGTCGACACTTTCGACAATCTTGCCGTTGGCGGTTTCGCCAATTCTTCTGTCGGTTCTCTCGACAGTTCTTGTGTGGGCGCTCTCGACAATTTTCCTCTCGGCGCTCCGCAAAGGGCTCAGCACGTGGCTGAGATCAGGGTTCTGATGGCCCCACGGGCTCCTCACTTTCTCCTATTTCTCTTCCTCCCAGTCCCTCACCTCTACAGGAGAGAGGGCCGGAAGGGCCGCTCAATAACCCCCCAGCGGCCCAGTCTGGAGCACCGAGTGATTACTTTCGACAGCGTCTCGAGGCGGCGGCCCGCGCGAGAAAAACCTCGCCTCCTCCTATTCCTACCCCTCCCCTTGACAAAGCATCGGTGGCTTCCGCCCAGTTTAAGGCCCAGAGCGAACCGATGCCTGACAGCGCGGAACGCGATCAAGATCACCCGTCGTCCGGGCACTCCAAGCCTCGACGCCCAGCACGTCAAACACCACCTCGTCTTATCAAGATCGTAAGTCCATTTTACCACACACATGTTGCCCGCAACGACGACATAACCACTCACCAACACCAGCTCCATGGCCACCAATGCTGCCTTTGTCAAGAACAATCTTGACGTCGACCAAATAATCGACATAATGAATGAGCCTCGGCTCCAGGTCATGGCTTCGGTAAGCTCTGCTTTCTTTTCTACCTCTACACTTGTATCTTTTACTCTTCGTGTTCTGGTTTCCATTACTTCGCCTTTCGTCATGATTTCCTCACTTCCCTTTGCTTCAACTCCCCTTTCCTCGGCCGTTGTGATCAAATCATGTTTTGTCTTTTGTCCTTTGCTTGCCTCCAAGTCCAAGCTGTTGGGCTTTGGTCATCTCGTCCATTCCGTTGTACTCCTCACTTCACCTTGCAGACCCTCCTCTGTTTGTCTACCGCTCCATCGAGCCATTCTTCTTTTTATCACCCCGCCAACCGCACCTTCACGCCCATCTTGCCATCTCTATGGTATACATGGTCAGTAACTAACATCATTGTCATTTAGAACCTGGTTTATTTTGGCAGCGATCTACTGGGAAACGTAGATGCCAACACCCCCAGTTACGTGTACTTCGGAAGCAATGATCTACTGGGCAACGTGGATGCCAGCACCCCCGGCCCTTACGAAGCGGGCAATCTGGGCCCTCTGGCACTGGAATTGGGCAGCCGTGGTCTGGGATCTCAGCCACAGCTTCTAGGTGTGGCGCCTGTTGTACCTTCCCCTACAATGCCGCAGCAGGTTGTGCCCTCGGTGATGCCGCAGCATCAAGCTATGGCCCAGCAGGTGCCGCCCGAGGAGTTGCCGCCCCAGGAGGTGGCTCCCCAACAGGTGATGCCCCAACAGGTGATGCCCCAACAGGTGATGCCCCAACAGGTGATGCCCCAGCAGATCCCGTCCCCTTCTCCTTCTCCCAGCCAAGAGGACCAGCACTCCAGCAGGTCCTGCAGGAGGACATGGAGAAGGTGGCGCACCTCGAATTTGCCCCCGACATCCTCGAAAAGACTTGGGAGCTCCAAGTTCTTGTCCAACCTGACCCCAGGGTAGAGAAAGTGCTTCTGTCGGAACGGTTGAAGGCGCAGGATCCCGAGAGGTTTGGCGGTGCCTCCTTGCGCCAACCGTCCCACTCCCCCGACTAGCAACTGCCCCGCGTGCAGGTCCAGCAGCCTTCCCCATCACTGTCACCCCCTCCGGCCGCACCGGCCGTTCCTGTCAAGCGCGGTCCGGGCCGTCCCAAGGGCTCCAGGAACAAGCCCAAGCACAACCTAGACCGGGTCATCGGGCGCGGCTCGCGGGTGACCAAGAGTGTTGGTAGGGGGGGCAACAGCATTGCTGCAGATACGTCCAAATCAGCAGGCTGGAGAGCAAGAACACCAGGCGAGAAACTCGCCATCAGGTTGATCGCTATCGCTCAGGCGGAAGCGAAGACGAAGCTGGAGGTGTACCTGCTGGACGAGGAGCAGGATCCGGCCGACGGCGCCGACGTTGCTGTCGGCAACAACAGAAAGCTGTCTCGGGAGCAGCTGCACTGGCAGCTGTTTATGAAATTCCAGCAGGAGGCGTTGGACCGGATCTTCGACGAGAATCCGCAGCACAAGGAGACGATTCTGGCCGAGGAGGGGCTCATGCAGGAGTTGTTTCCGGGGTACTTTGAGAAGGAGTAGGTGTCACTGTTTGGTCATTGTTTTTGTATTTGTAGGAGCACATTGTCACTTCTAGCGTTTGGAATTAAAGATCTGCGACTTTGAGATGAGAAAACCTACCCACACCCATATCTTTCCTAGAGGCACCCATATCTACTCTTCGAGGTAGTCAGCAACAGCTGTTTTGTGGCCAAAAATGTAATCATTGAGGGATTGCCTGCAATCGGATTTTGCATGAACCTTCTCCAACTAAACAACTGCGGGATTGACACAGCGACTTCCTACGTAATCTTCGCACTGATGAACAGCAGAGGAGTGTCCATGATGGTCTTTGTTTTTTCTTTTTGAGAACGAACTGATAAGCTCCCGATAAGCCCCCTGCAAAACCCTAACCCCAACCACCACTGGCACATGTCCAGAACCTGTGCCAAGCCAGCGATTGTCCCCCTGCCAAAACGTCATTGATTGGATCGTCTTGAATTGGGAAGTTTCGGTGGCTCAAGCTCGTGAAATCCGGCACCTAGTTGACCGAGGTGACGTCATGCACTTTTTGCTGGACTTTTTGACATTCATCGACATGTAACCAACAAAAGCGATTTCATAATACATTCTTTATACCTCTTACGACCTACAAGCCACCTACATAATCGCCTCTACCTACACGTCCTATTCAACTCAGTGTTACACACAGTACTACACTCATCGCTTATCTTATCACTTACACGCGTTGCATCCTATCAAGCATCAACATCAACATCAGCCGAACACCTACAACCATGGCCGACTGGGACACGGACGCCGCCCTTGACGGGCACTTGCGCGACCAAAATGGCACCGCCGAAAAGAAACCGAAGAACGAGCATAGATGGATCTGGTTCGTCACGGGCCCGACGGCATGTGGAAAGACGACGGTTGCGAAGGCGTTGGCGAAGAATTTGAATTTCACTTATGTCGAGGGTGATAATGTGAGTTTCTGTCCTCTTACTGCGCTGACCTATGGGGTGGTTGTAGCCAACTGCAGTCACTGCACGGCGCTGTCTTTGGCCCTTGCGGAACATGCGCAATCTTTCCGTTCCTCCTTCGGCTCATCTCGTGGTCCCTCTCTATCCCCGAGACCCCAACGGGAGCCGCAACTTGAACCTCCCAACCCTTTCCCTCCCACTCAGAGCCTCACACATGGTCCCTGCACCGAGGTACCTGCATCACCAACCTCACTGCATCACCAACTTCAACTTCAACCTCAACCTCAACCACACCCACTAACACCTCACACTATCACAGTACCACCCAAAAGCCAACGTCGAAAAAATGTCCCGCGGCGAACCTTTGACAGACGCCGACAGAGCAGGCTGGCTCCAAGCCCTAGCCGAGCACGAAACCGCCGCGCCACCGACCTCCAAATCCTCCCCGCATCTCGTAATCACCTGTTCGGCCCTCAAGCGTCACTACCGCGACATTTTGCGTTTGGGATCCGAGCACGCCGGCGATTTAAGGGTTCGCTTCATTTTCCTGAGTGCGCCGGAGAAGGTCCTGAGAGAACGGGCGCAGAAGAGAAAGGGGCATTTTGCGGGAGAGAATTTGGTGCATAGCCAGTTTAACATCTTGGAGATGCCGGACCCAAAAAAGGAGGAAGAAGAGGGAGGGGAAAAGGATGTGTTGGTGGTGGATGTGGATGGGAGGGGGGTGGAGGAGGTGGAGAGGGAGGTTTTGGAGAGGGTGAGGGGGGAGATGGGGAGGGAGGAGGGGGATTTTTTGAGGTTGAATTAGGGAGGGGTGGTGGGTGGTGTTTGGTTGGTTCTGATGTTGATGATATTGTTTAGATAGTAGGAATTATACCTTGGGTTTGTGGTGTCAGGTGATGGGATGATGTGAAGAGGTTGGAGTTTGGAACATGGAAGTCGCTTATGTTGTGAGCTGTTCGTCTGGTACGTTTCTCGGAAGTTCGATCTTGGATAGAGGTATCTGTAGCCCCATCTATATCGCTTGATGCCAGCGTGTTTCCTGGACTGGTCACGTGGATGAAGGGGTTTGTGAAGATGAGAAGGGATTCGGCGTTTTCAACACCATGCTTGTTTACCAGGTGCCAAACCTTTGTGGCGTGTTCGTTTGTGGGATAGTGGACATCAAGCATAGAGGCAGCAGGCAGGTATGTTTTGTGTTGGAGGTTGGAAAAGGCGGCAGCAGAAAAGTGCTTGTGTCTGGAGAAGAGCGGAAGATGAGAAACAGAAACAAGGGCAGCGAAAATGCCTGGGAAGGGAGTGCCGGTAAAGGGGAAACCCATGAATGGGCGCCCGTCGCAGTGACTTCCACATGTTGCTTGCTTGATGGGAAACTCTCCACACCAAACTTGATGGACTGTCCCGTGGGTATATAAGGAAGGTCTTTCCCCCAATCCCAAGGTCCCTTTTCTTCTCCTCTTTACCATTCACTGTCTCTTGAGCTCCGCCAAGAATAACTTCCATCCACCAACATGCCGCCCTCAAGGTTTAAGTGGAGGCTCTGGACTATCCGGACCCCTTTACCAATACGATGTACAACCCACCATGAACCCTTCACTTGGTAGAACTTCACAATTTTGATGGTTATAAATATTTTAACTCTGCCTCCCGTTACTCATTGCAAAAACTTTCCTTTCCATTATCCATCACCACCCCGTGCACCCACAAGCACTCACCGAGAAATCGCAAGCAAGCACAAATCCCGTGCCTGAGATGTCTCCCGTAACCATGGCTACCACAGCTCTCACGGTTGTCTCGACTATGGCCACAATTGTCCAACAAATGCCCACGCCCAGACCCACCACCACTGTCCCCCTTCCAGAACCATCGGAAACAGCCAGCCAGTCATCCGGACCAGGCCTATTCGTGCCAGAACCTTACTACTCCGGCACCTCCTTCTTCGCCTCGATTGCAAACATTTTGTACATGTTTGTGTACACCATCCCGCGCGGCGTTTGTGGCATCCTTGAACTCTTCCTAATGTTCCGAAGGCAAAGAGAGGCACTTGCCAAAGAAGCCGAAGAAAGAAGCCATCGAATTCAAATGACCGAGGGCATCAACAGGATGGTGGTGCTCATGGAATCACAGACCGAGCGAATGAACAAGATGGCGGAGCTCATGGGAACGATGGTGGAGGATAACAAGGCCTTGAAGGAGGACAACAAGGGGTTGAGTCAACGCCTTGAGAGGGTTGAGACTGATAATACGGTGTTGAGGCGAACCGTTGAAAGGCTTGAGACGGGAATGAAGGAAATGAAGGAGGAGAATAAGGCGATGCAGGAAGGAATCACGGAGGCAGTTGAGAAGGGCACTAAGGAGGGCATCAAGGGTTCGTTGACGGAGGCGAGTCAGGCGATGACGGAGGCAGTAAAGGAGGGTGTCAAGGAGGGATTCAAGGATGTAATGAAGGAGGCGAATCCGGTAACGAGCGAACCGGCGAGAGAGCCCCAGGGCATGATCGAGGGTATGAAGAGGGTGGAACGGAAGATGAGAAGGATTGAGTACACCATCTATTGGGTTGAGAATATGGTTGATTGGGTGCTCTACTATTGCAAAAATCATTCTGAGCAGCTGGCGATACTTCCTAAATCGCTCAAGCAGGAGGTGGGGGCGCCTGACTGGGAAAGCGAGACAACGATGGAAATTGAGGATCCGATTGATGCCGGCTCGGAGGAGTGGGAGGAGGAGGATGGAGAGGAGGAGGAGGATGGAGAGGAAGAGGAGGAGGAATCGGACGGGATGCATGGCGAAGATGACGCTGCATCTACTACTTCTACTGCTCCTACCCCTTGGGACTTTGCTGAAGCGGAGGATCAGAACCCATGGTAGTACAAGATTACCTCTATAGACTGTCCTCTCATGTCCATAGAAGCAAAACATATCACGGCTTTGTTACAGAGGTCTCCAGTCCAATTGAAGTGTCCATGCTGTGTCCATCTTTCAAAGATTAGATGGGTAAATGGGTATTGTGCGAGTGGGAGTGAATGGTAAAGAGGTAGATACCTCTTCACAACCTTGATTTCTGGATTATACGAAACCCTTCACCAATGTACGACCTACTGTGAACCATTCACTGGGTAGAAGTTCACAAATTTCATAACTACCTATAAATATTCCGCCTTTAACTCCCGTTACGCATCGCACAAATTCTGCTTTCCATTATCCACCACCACCACCCACAAGCACTCACTCAGTCGGAAACTACAAGCAGGCACAAATTCCGTACCCAAGATGTCTTCAGCGTCCCAACCGATCCCGACGCCAACTAGCTTTACCACTGCAACTACCAAGCCCAAGACCATGGCTGCCACCGCCTTTACTGCCGTCACCACAATTGTCTCGACCGTGATCACATTCATTCAGTCGGCGCCCACCCCCACACCCACCGCCACCACCACCGGCCACCTCCTAGAACCATCAACGACAACCAGTGCCTCCTCTGACTCCTCAGAGTCCTCACCCGCACCAAAGCCATGGGTGTCAGAGCCGTACTACTCTGGTACCTCTTTCATCGCCTCGGTTGCCAACATTCTATACATGATTTTCTACACCGTCCCGCTCGGCTACAACCAAATCATTGGAATCTTCCTAATATTCCAAAGGCGAAGAGAAGCGCTTGCTAAGCAGCTGGAAGAACAGAAGTGGAAAGAGGAGACGCGACACCTTCAGATTCAACAGACCGAAGGAATCAACAAGATGGTGGAGCTGATGGGACTGGTGCTGGCAAAGCAGCGAGATGACGAGAAAGAGAAGGCGGAGGCACGAGACCATCGGATTCAACAGACTGAGGGAATCAACAAGATGGTTGAGCTCCTCGGATCCGTACTACAGGACAACAAGGCCTTAAAGGAGGATAAGAAGGTGTTGTGTCAATGCGTTGAAAGGCTTGAGTCGAGGATGCAGGATTCTGAGAAGCTCATCAACGGCATGGAGAGGATGGTGACGGTGGTCCAGGGGTTGGAGGGGGTGTTCAGAGTGGCCTTAGAGGGAGTGGAAACGAGGATCGGGGCGATCGAGCACATGGTGGATTGGATGCTCGACTATCATTTGGATGAGAACAAGCGGTTTCACGCTCTTAAGGTGATTCTTGCTGGTTTACTGAAGTAGGATGGCTCTACCTCTACTGCCTCTTCCTCTACTACTCCTACATCTTGGGGCGGGGATCTAGTGGAAAATCGGATTATAGTAGACGAAGGGGATTGGGAGGACCACAAAAAGCCATGGGAGAAATAATAGAGGTAATAGAGGATTATAGACTGCCCGGAATTTCCATAAAAGCAAATCATATCACGAGCTTGTCACAGAGGTCTCCAGTCAAATTGAAGTGTCCGGTGCATACTATGTCCATCGTCGGTGTATTATCATCACTACAGGTACCTACGTATTTCCCCCTTCTCAAGGTCCCGTTTTGTCTCTTCTTTACCATTCACTCCCTCTCGCACAACGGGCACCCATTCACCAACATGCCGCCAGCAAGGTTATGGTGGAGTTTCCTCTACACGACCTTGATTTCTGAACTATACGGACCCTTCACTGCGTAGAATATTATAATTTCAATAGATATAAGTATGCCGCTTTTGCCTCCAGTTACCAATCCCACCAAATCTCCTCTCCGTTACCCACCACCGGTGAATTCATCACGCAGAAGGACTCAATCCGACACAACCAGCAAACACAGATCTTCTCTCCAAGAAGAGCCCGACTTCCAAAACAATGGCAACTATCACCACAAGCGCCAACCCTCACACCGAAACCATGGTAGACAATGCAGTCACCACCATCTCGACCATAATGACCTCTACAATGGTCAAAGTCATCCGCCGTCAAGCGGAACCAAGCACCACCACTTCCTATTCCTAACCACCAGAGGCAACAACTACCTCATCGGTACCATCCTCGTGGATCTCAGAGCCCTACAACTCCGCGATCAATTTCTTCTCATCGCTCTCAACCATCGTCTACTTTTTCGTAGTCACCGTCCCCTCCGCCGTTGTCCTTATTATTGCAATATTGACGTGGAGAAAGAGGCGTCGAGAAGAGGCTGCTGAAAAGCTAGAGAAGAAGATCGAAAAGGCTGAGACGCGAGCCTTCCGGTCTCTGCTTGTGCAGGAGGCGAGGCTGACGAGGGAGTGCTTGGGGAGGGTAGAAACGAAGATCAATGCAGGTGGGATGGAGGATGGAGTGAAGGAGGCCCTTATCACTATGGTGAAGGCAATGAAGGAGGGAAGGAACGTGGAGGGAAAGAGGAAGAGGAGGAAAAAGGAGAGGAAGGAGATGAGGGAGGGGTTTGAGAAGATTGAGGTCAAGTTGGATGGTTTCCTCGACCTCATTCCCAAAGCTGAGAACAAGAAGAAGAATCGGCCTCACCAAGGGCTGCTTCCTGATTTCACGGGCAAGGACAACGCGCCTGCCTGGGGCAGTACGGCAACAACGGAGATTGAGAGTCTTCTGGATGCTGGTGATTTGGTGGAGGGAAAGGAGGATGAGGACTATGAGGCGGACAAGGAGGAATCGGTCTATGGCGATGACGCTAGCTCTACTGTCTCCGCCACCTCTACTCCCGATACTCCTTGGGAATGGGGGCAAGGGGAATGGGAGCAACCACAGAGCCTGCCTTTATTGGAGGGAAGCACGTGGGACTGGAACGCGGTGTGGTAGTGGAGGATTATGGACTGGAATCTCATGTCTACGAAAGCAAGACAAATCACGGTTATGCCGCAGCGTTTTCAATCAAATTCAAGTGTGCGTTGCGGTTTGTGTCCATATTAGGTGTATTAACATGACTGCTTTACCTCCCAATGTTTTCCTAATGTCTCCTAGAAGAATTCCATAACCAGCCACCCACATTGAAGTCTTCGATGTTCGGCCGCCCCATTGCTCCGAGGCAATTTGCCCCCACTACCCCTACTGTTCTAGCACAAGCAGGAACGTATTAGCGACGTCTTCACCTTCCGTTCAGGTTCAAGTCAAAGGGATAAGGAGCGACTTACAGGGCAAGGGAGAGTGCGTTTGGTGCAGGTTGAGTTATCTCTAACGCTGGTTATAGAAGTTGACCCCTCGCCGAAGACTCGGAGGCCGGAGGAGGTAGTCGTAGAAGACCATGAAGAGGATAAATCCGATGAGTCTTATTCCCCTTCAGTACCACCGGCTGGACCCGGTATTTCGGTCTCGGGTGCACCTAGATTAGAGGTACATGTACCTCCAGGATCCATCCAAAACGAGTGTGCCGGTCTTTGCACTGCGTTCTCCGGTCCTTGTCCTCGAGTGCCTTGCCTTGCTTTACCTTCTAGGTCTAGCGTCTAGGAGGCACCCAGGGCCTCTTCGCATCATCCACACCCATCTTCTTCAGCGCCACGTCCATCTGCCCGGCCTGTATATGCAGTATAGTCGCAATCCTCTCCTGTGTACCTCTAGTCGCACCCATCTCCGTTGCCGGCACCAACCGTCTCTGTAGGGCAACCATCTCTTTGTTTTGGGTAAGCATCTCCTTGTTGTGGGCATACGTGGCCTTCTGAATGTCAAACATCTGCTTCTGAAGACCTAGCATCTCCTTATTCTTTTCCAGCATGTCCTTGTTCTGAGAAAGCATCTCCTTCTGCGAGACAAGCATCTCCTTGTTCTGGGCATGCGTTGCCTTCTGAATGTCAAACATCTGCTTCTGAAGAACTAGCATCTCCTTGTTCTGGGAAAGCATCTCCTTCTGCAAGACAAGCATTTCCTTGTTCAGGTCAAACGTCTGCCTAGCTAGAGTTTGGTACTCAGCTGCATACTCCTCAATCCTGCCCGCCGTCAACTTGGTACCCTGTTGCTCATCTAGTTGTTCTTGTTGAAGTGCGATAACCCCCCACAAGATGAAGGTGATGCTCCAACCGACACCGATGATGAGGGCGGCGATGCCGGAGAGGTTGGGTTCTGGCAGGAACCACACGGCGATGCATAAGGTAATGAATGAAAATGCAGCGATTATGGCAATATCCATTATATCCATTGCAGGCGATATAACGATGTAGTAAAGGTTGATGGTGGGTTGGTCTCTGGAGGTCTAGTGGTCTTGAGATTGATACAGGCGATGGTCGACCCTGGTCCTTGGAGTAGAGCAATGGAGTTGAAGTGGACTGAGTGGTAAGGGTAGTAGATATGAGGGAAGAGGGCTGGCTAGGTATATATCTGGCCATGTCAAAGCATGAAAAATTGGACCGCAAAGGAAGGGGGAAGGCTTTGGAGTGCATGTGAGAGCAAGTGTTGTCTGGGGCATTCTAGGTAACTATGGTATCATGATATGCGAGGCTCGCTTTACGGTCTTCCCATCAATCCATTGGGTTCAATGTTCACCGTACTACCCCCATTTGTGTTTATTCACTTCGTTTACTTCAACGGTCAGACCGTTTGTGCAGGTGCAGCCCAAAGGGAGAAGGAGTGACCTGCAAAGGGAAGGACTAACGGCATCTTTGGCCTAGGTAATGGACATCGTAGCTCCCTATGTCAACTAGGTACACAAAACGCTTTCATTACAGTTAAAAACAACGCAGTGGGAGAATATTCCCGAATGTGGTAGATTGGGCTACTCGAAAGCTACCTGACTACCTCTAGGTAATTTGACTGTGACATGAATCATGGCAGCTTCTCCTGGCGGCCCTACCCCGTCTCGCCAGTTGCTGTTGTCTTTCAGATCCGCCTTTCACTGTTCAAAAAGATCACACGTCCCGTTGAATGACGGCCGGCATTTAAAATGGTGAAATCCGGCGTGGGTGGAGGCACGGCCGGGGTGCCAGGGAGGCCATGGCACTGCAGGAATCTGGACTGGAATCTGCACCAAAGCATGGAGAACATATCAGGGCTCTGTCACAGCGTTCTCTACCTAATCAAGCTGAGATGTTCGGTGCAAACTGTGTCCATATTCGTTTATTATCATAACTGCTTTGATGTCACTCCCCATGCTCCCCTAACGTACCCTACACCACTGAGAGAGAATCCTATGCCCTGCGCCTACTAAGTCTCCCATGCATGACCTTGCCACCCCTCTAACCAATTGCAACCCCCTACCTCTTCTCTTCTATGTTTACTACAAAAGCAGGAACGGATTAGAAATGCCATGACTTCCCTTTGCGTGCAGGTGTACATCAGAACACGAGGAAGGAGCGACTTACATGGCCGAGTGTCGTCGGTGCAGCTCCTCCCAAAAGGATTGATACAATCTTCTTTACCGGCCCTGTGCATCTGCTGCGCTGGAGTCTTCTCCATCAGCGCTACTTTCCCGTACTCCGGTCCCGTGTGCAGCTCGATACAGAGCCATCCCAGGAACGCCGTAGCACGCTGTGATTCTCGGACCCTGCTCCGGTCTCTGTCCCTGTTGAGTTCCTTGTTCATGAGCAGCGCATTGCCCTTGGGCGCCTTGCCTTCTTAATCCGATAGGTCAGCAAGAGACAGCGATGTCCTCCCCCCCTCCGCCATATCCAGCTTTGTCAGCAGCACCTCCAAGCACGTGGCCTCTTTCTCCAGTACGACGACAATTCTCTCTTGTCTAGCTGTAATCTCCCTTAATAATTCCGTCGTCTCTCTGTGTCGGGCCGTATCTCTTTGTGTAAGGCAACCATCGACTCGAGTGCGGGCAGAGCGCCGCTGCTTGTACGCAAAGTCATCGATATGAGGTTTAGCTGCTCTAGTTGCTCTTTTTGAAGGTTGTGAATGTCGTTGAGGAAATAGGTCATAGTCCAACCCATCATCGTGATGGTGGCAAAAATCCAAATCACCTGTTTGATTAGGTAGGGTAGTTGGTCTTGGACCAGCGCGGCGATGAGGGTGGTGGTTTGGGAGGAATCCATTTTGCGGACGGTGAGGGAGTGGAGTGATGTGATGGGGATGATGTAAGTTGAGTACCTCTAGCAGCAGAAGCAGGCGGGGAGGGATGGATGATTATATACCTCTAGCTGGCAATGTCAAAGGATGAAGATCTAGAGGCGAGGGGGAAAAAAGAGTGAAGTCTCTGGAAGACAGTATTGAAGCTGACGGTTGTCTGGGGCATTGTAGTGTCACAAGAATTAATGGCAACTCAATCCTTTGTGTATGACTTCATGTCCAATCTATTGACTTCATTACAACATGTCTGCTTGTTTCCATTCATGGTCGGTTCATTGCATTGTTTCATTTCGTTTACTTTGATAGGCAGAACGCTTGTGCGGGTGCAGGTCAAACGGAGAAAGGGTGACCCAGCAAGAGGAAGGACAACGCTGCATACCTTAGGTAGTCATGGACATGTAGCTGCCTGCAATAACACAGAAACCTTTCATCACCGTGAGGAATCAGGGTACCTAGTAGGAGGATGTTCCCGAACGTGGTGGATTTGACTACTTGACAAATGAAAACCTTCATGCTGATTTAAACTTCAGTGTAGCATGGTATAGCCCATATAAGCTTGGGTCTTCGGGACCTCCCAATCAAACCAGCTTCTCGTGACTCCCCCAATCTGTCACGCTCTGGTTTTCCACAACTGACTCCGACACTCTAATCCAGTCGCTAGGAACGTCAACCAACTTCTTCTCGCTCCTCAAGTCCGTACCACTCTGGTGTTCCACATCCGGCTTCGATTGCTCATAGGGGCCGTGAGGGATCAGGCTCTCCTGACTTCCGTAGTCCGGCCAGCTCTGCTCCGATTCCCAAGTATCGTATCTTCTGCTCCTTGAGGGTGGACATGTGTTTGCATGACACTCCCAGCGTGGGTGTAGGCACGGCCGGTCCTTGACACCGTGGTGCTTGAGGAGGAGATCCATCTGGCGTGCTTGGAGATCGTGATGGTCATATACGCTGGACTCGATGGAGCGTAGTCCATTCTCCATTCTCTCGGCCACATCCAATTGCCTCTCCACGAGCTCTTCCTGGGGAGTCTGGGGCCATTTTCTTTGCTTGCAGAACCGGACCACAAATACGATGACCATGATGACGCCACCCAAGCCCAGCCAAATATTTGAAAGGCCTGCACAGAATGAAACGATGGAGTTCACCATGGAGTCGATGAGCGAAGATGAGGCGGTGGTCGTTGGTTCGACCGAGGTGTTGATGATGGTCACATTGAGGTTGACCGTAGGTGTGCCACTGGTGACTGCCGGGGCGGTTGACAGCAGTGGCGTCAGAGCGTCGACGATCTGGTTGGTAACGTTCTGAGTGATTGGGGCCATTGTGACTGGTTGGCGGTGACTGAGGATGACTTGTTTGAGAAGTGTCGTTCAAGATGATCGTGTTAGACAACAGGAGAGGAGCTCTTCGAGATCAGTTACTTGAGGTTGGTGGTGGGTAATGGGAAGAAGATTTTTGCGGATGGGCAACGGGTGTAGGGACGGCATATTTATATGGTCCAACGAAACGAATATTTGACCCGGTGAAGGAACGATTGTGAGTTCAACAAATCCAAAATCAACACAGTGAAGGGTCATCCTCGAGCGTGGTGAAGGGAAGTTCGGTGGAGGCATAGCCAAGCCTTGGGAATAGAACCTGAAGAGACATGTGGGATATCCCACGAAAAGCCCCAATGAACCTTAGCGATGGCATGTCAAGTGAATGGCACTTGTGCCAGGTGAGATCACGGTGGTGGTGAATGGAATAGTTGCCCCGGTGGGAACCATTGTGATGATCTTGACTTGCGGTAGGAAGATTGTAGCAAGATTCTTGAGCGTTGCGGAAGGCCTCAACCCACGCGAGACACTCCCCATTTTAGCGACCAAAACGCCCAAAGATGTTAAACCATCTGTCATTATGGGACCATGAAGGGAATCAGATTTTTAGCAGGCAAGGATGGTATTCTTATATCCAACAAGAACGGTGATATACAAGTCCAAGCGAGCTTCATAGCAAGAGTGTGATGATGTTTGGTGCCTGGTGTTTGGAGTTTGATGTTTGCTAGTGTATATAGCTTATAGCGTGTTATAGCGCGCAACATCTAACAGCGATGTTTGAGTGGAAAACGCCAAGCATTCGGGAAAAGAATCAGAGCAGGGAGTCATTTAATTTGACTACTGGTAGCTGACTGAAACCGTCCATGTTGATGTACCTGGTGTATGACCCGTGTCGCTAAGCTATAGCGAGCCTACAGCGTGTTACAGGGCGCAGTATCTAACAGCACAAGAGCAAGAAGCAGGTCAACCGCAGGAAAGGAAACAACCCTTATCAACCAACAAGACAACGGCATCATGGGCGTCTACCAGTCCAAGTGATCCTGAAATGTCAGACACAGTAATCACCTCCACTGTTTCCTCCCTCACCTTCTCACAAGCCTGGTTACATTGACACGCATAAGAGCTTCCATAACCGTCTCCCAGTCCCCCGTTATTCCCATATCCTCCATCGGCTTTTCAACCACCCCAATCTCTAGCATATCTCTCGCAATATTCACCATCTCCTGTAAATCCAAATCATACCACACATAATGAAATTTCTCCGTCACTAGCTTTCCAAACTTCTTCCCGTCCTTTGCCACCTCTTCATCCTTCCACTGAAACAAATCCACCGCCTTCCTTGTCCAGGAAACTACGGCCTGCGTCCTAGCATACCTGAGGTGGTTGTACACATCAAGTGCCTGCTCGAGGATCTTTCCCGTGTCCAATTCAGGGCCGTTCCAAACCTGAAGCTTGGTCGCCTTCTCCAACAACTCCGCCAAAACCAGCGCATCCTCGATCCCCAACCCTCCTCCCGCTCCCAAATGCGGGCCTGTGGCGTGCGCCGCGTCGCCGGCTACTGCTACTCGACCGGAGTAGTACTGCGGGAGAGGAAAGTCGAAGGTGTCAAAGATGCCCCACTTAACAATCGGTCCGCCTCCTCCCTCCTTCTCCTCCGGGAACAGTTCCGCGAGCTTTTGCGCGGTTGGATGCCATCCCTTGAACGCCTGGCGGATATCCTCCTTGGTTCCGGGGAGAACGTGTCTCTTCTCATCCGGCCACTCGTTGGGGTCACTGATGACGGCGAGCATGTTCAGAACCGAGTTGTTGCCGACGGGGTAGGTGATGATGTGCGCGCCGGGGCCGTTGTACATGAATCTTGTCGAGGCACGGTGCTGACCGACGGCCTCCACGGCACGGGACATGGGGACTAGGGTGCGGTAGCAGTATTTGTGGGTGTAGCTCTCTTTTGCTACACGTTGGATAGAAAAAGGGTCGAGATGGGACTGGATGTGGTTGCGCAGGCGAGAGCGGATGCCGTCGCACCCGATGACGAGGTCGACGCTGACGTGGGTGCCGTCGGTGAATCTGAGAAGTATCTTTCCACCGGCCTCGGGATCGTATCCTTGGTCACCTGGTTCTTGGACTGCCTCTACCATCTTGTTGAACTGCATGTTTTGCGGCGGGACGAGCTTCCCCCACTCCTCCAGAATCTCGGATCTCTTGCAGCCCAGGAATCCGTCCTCGGGCACGGGAAGGGAGTACAGCAACTCATCGGCAAGACCATTGATCCACTGGAACTTGTCTTCACCATTCGGGTTGGCGGTGCGCTTGTAAGCTGGGAAGACTTCGGGATTGAGCAGCTTCATGGCTTGTTCGGCGTTGGGGGAGAAGCCGATGCCAGCACCAATTTCGCGGAAACCTGGGGAACGCTCATAGACTGTGTAGGGGATGCCACGGCGTTCGAGCCCAAGAGCGAGGTTGATACCGGTTATGCCGCCACCTATGATTGCTACGTGGAAGGGAGTGGGAGATGAGGCAGAGGGCCCGGACGGGGAGCGACTATGGGCGATTGAAGGCATTTCGGCTTCGAGTCGTTTGTTGATGTTGAAAGACGTCTCGCGGCGTCGTGGTGTTTGAAGAGTCTAGAGGTTGAGGGCTTGAAGTGTTGAAGAGTCTAGAGGTTGAGGGGTTGAAGTGTTGGGGAGTCCAAGTGTAGAGGACTCGAGTCGCGTGAGAACCGAGGGGTCCGCAGGTGGGGAGTCGAAGTGTGGAGGACAGCACAATCTGGTGTTAGAATGCAGCTTGTGCCGCGGGGAAGGCATGATTGAGACATGACTGCAAGTGAGACAGGTTTCTGCACGTGTCGGCTCGGGGCTTGGGTGGGGGACGTCCGATGTATAACAGTAACACGGGCGCAACCCGAGCTTGCCCAACTTGCTTAGTGGTACCTTAGGTAAGGTATCTTCTCGAAAGACAACTTGAACCCAAACAACCTTCCCAACCTCCCGCAACATTGTCACCATGCCGATGCTAGGAGGAATCCCCGGCCACCCCAAGAGCAAAGTGCTCTTAACTGGTATGTAACTCCCATCTCCAGCTCATCAAGTCTCCTAACAGTACCGGCAACAGGCGGCACCGGCTTCATCGCCTCGCATATCCTCGATCACCTCCTCGAATGCGGCTTCGACGTCGTAGTAACCGCCCGCTCCCAAGTCAAAGGCGAGCGGATCCTCGCCTCCATCGCCAATGCCCCCAATGTGGTCAACACCGTCGGCTGCAAAGTGACATACGCTGTGGTAGACAACATTGCTCAACCAGGAGCTTTTGATGAGGTTCGTCCCTCCTTTTTCCTTTCCACGCTTCCGGTTCCGCGGTCTGGTACTAACAATCATCGTGCTCCCACACAGGTCATCAAAACGAACCTCCCCCTCCACTACTGCATCCACACCGCCTCACCCTACCAGCTCTCCTTCTCGGACCCAGTGTACGACTGTCTCCGCCCGGCCATAGACGGCACCCTCTTCCTTTTGACTTCTCTCCAGCAGCACGCCTCCTCCTCCCTCATCCGCGTCGTCTTCACCTCCAGCAGCGCCGCCATCCTCAACCCGCCCAACCACCGCCCCGTGTACGACGAATCCTCCTGGCCCGATGACGAAACGCTGAACTGGGATCTGGCCAAAGACCCGAGCGCGCCCGGTGACACGACGTACAGAGCGAGCAAGAAGTTCGCGGAGCAAGCGGCGTGGAACTTTATGGAGGAGCATCACCCGAGTTGGGATTTGGCGACGATCAATAATACGTATACTTTTGGGCCGCTGCCGAGGAGTCTGGAGGTTACGGATGGGGGTGAGTGCAAAGTTAATACGTCGAATGAGAGGATTGTTGATTGCTTGACGGGCAAGTGGAGCGAGCGGATTCCGCCGACGGCGCCGGTGTTCACTTGCGTGGATGTGAGGGACGTGGCGGTGGCCCATGTGAGGGCGATGACGAGGCCGGAGGCGGGAGGGAAGCGGTTTTATGTTGTTGGTGGGTACTTTTGCAATGCGGGGATTGCTGGGGTTGTCCATGGAATGTGTAGGGCGGATCGGGATGGAGGCAGGGAGGCTGAGAAGGGGAAAGAAGTGGAAATGTGTCAACAGTGTGTCAAGTTTGATGATCTCCCGGAGAATCACTGGATGTTTGACAATACTAGGAGTAAGAGGGTGCTGGGGCTCGAGTGTAGAAAGATGGATGAGAGCGTGGTGGACACCGTTAGGAGCTTGAGGGGGATGGGGATTGGGGAGGGCAATCCGCAGATTGCCGGACATTGGGATTACGATGAGGGAACTTTGCCGAACTAGATCCGTGTAAACATCATCTAGTCAAGGAACAGAGCAGGGTATCAACGTAGATTGACTAACAGCTATCATATCCAAAATCAGGCGCTCTGCTTGTACTCCCCCTTGGCCACCCTCTCGCACACCACCTTCAACGTCTGACCCGCCCACTCGAAATCGCTCTCCTCCAGATACACCTGCGCGCACAACCTCGCCCAGAACCTCCTCCTGTAGAAGGTCATCGGCACAAAGGTGTTGTACTCCTCCTGAAACACCTTGTACATCCAGTTAAACGCCTTGGACGCCTCCTCCTGGGGAATCTCATACATCCCCTCGACCTCCTTCTCCTCCTTCTCCGTCAACTTAACCGACGCCTTCGGATCATCCCCCGTAACCAACGGCAGCGCAACGTTGACCATGGCGCACCTGACCAGCGTCCCCTTGTTGTTCTCCAACACCCTCGTCCCCAAGGTCTCCGCCACTTTCTGTCCTCCCTCCCTCGCCAACCGAGTCGTGTATTCCATGATCCTCTCCTCGCCACCAAGCACCTCCTCGCGCCACTTGATCGCGTCCTTGACGCAGAAGAACGGAGAGTTATCTATCGTCCCGACAAACTCAAAGTTGTTGACAAACTCGGACTTGCTCGTCGGCGGTAGCGGGTTAAACCGATCCCCAACCTTCGGCACGAACCCGTGAGAGGTGGGCAGCGTCGACCGGATCAAGTGCTGGTTGCGAACAGGGACGTAGAACACCGCGCATCCACGCGGAGTGAACAGCCATTTGTGGCAGTTGCTGACGAGGAAATCGGGGTCCGTCTCGGAGATCTTGAGGTCCACCATGCCGATACCTTGCGCACCGTCGACGCACGAGATTATTCCTTCTTCTTTGCACACTTTGACGATATCCTGGAAAGGGAAGCAGACGCCGGGCATGGAGCTCACAACATCAATAACTGCCAGACGGGGCCTCTTCCCTTCTTCCCTGCTCTTCTTGACGGCATCCCGGAAAGCAGCCACCACCTCCTCATCCTCCGCCGGATAAACCAACGACACACACCTGCTCCCAACAACACCCTGCTTATCCTCAACCACGTAATCGATCGTCTTGCCGCACGCACCGTAGATGGTATCGAAGTAGAGAATCTCGTCCTTGCCGTCGGCGGACCAGACCATGTTGCGCAGAACGGTGTTGACGCCTAGGGTGGCGTTGGACACAAAGACGACGGTTTCGACGGGGACTTTGAGCAGGTTGGCGACGGCGGCGCGGGATTCGTCGAGGAGGACGGGGGTTTGGTAGCGGATGAAGGAGTCGGGACGGGCTTCGGCGGCGGTTTGGTAGGTGCGGAGTTTTTGCTGGATGGCGGAGGGATGGGTGCCGAAGGAGCCTGGGAGTTAGGGTTAGTACACTCGGTTATGGGGTTATTGATGGTTTGTACGGACCATGGTTGAGGTTCCGGTAGGCAGGGTCGTGAAGGAATTCCTTGAGGAGGGAATTGCCGAATTGGACGGGGCCGGTTTGGGCTTCGGCCTTTTGCTGTAGAGGCAGCTCGAAGGTTGTGGCGACCATGGTGACTGTGGTGTTGGTTGTGAGGGGGTGAAGACAGTTGATGACAATGTTTGCGAGAATGTCTTCCTCAAATATGAAATCTTATCATGAGACGTCAACGATCCTGACTCACCGTGAGTCACTCACGGCATGACTCCATCGGCCCGTTCATCGGACCCTTTACCAACCGGGACGGGAATCTCGAACCGAATCGTCGGGCGCTGTCATTAGCGGGTACCGTGGATCTTGTCATTCAAAGGGCGTGCTCAAGTCTATCCGTTTTACGCGATGGCGGAGTGCATGCTGTCGGACTGTCGTTGAAAGCGGGGAACATGCCGAATGAGTACCGGAAAATAACGGGATGCAGCGGTGTAACGCACGCGGTTGGAAGCGGATCATTTGTGACTCGTCTGCAGGTTTGTTGACATGGCGATGATGCAGTGGTGTTGTTGTTCTGGAATTGTTCTGGAAAGTTTCGTCTGTTCTCGAAATGTTTCAGTTTCGCAATGTTCGCGACCAGGGAGAGCGCCTGACTAAGCAGTGTTACAGCGTCATGCCACGTCATGCCAAGCCGCGGTTGTCATTTTCCGGCACTTTAGTTACCTCGGTACAATTCATTGTAAGCGAACGTAACAAAACATCACCGCTTCTCAACCTCACTTTATCAACACCACCAAAGCATGCTTCCATAGGCACCGCTTGACTATTTCACCACTCAAAATGACCGCCGACGAGCCCCCATCCGACTCCCTCACTCTCTGGGAGAAGCTCTCCCTCACCTGGCTTGTTCCTCTCTTCGGTGAGTCTCCCATGTCCTCTCCTCACCACCCTAACCCTCCCGTTCTCATGTCTCGGAAGTTCTCACTAACACCCACCAGCCGCCCGATGCATCAAATGCCTCCTCTTCCAAAGTAATCCCTCCCTGCACTGGCGACAAAACCTCGCTCTAGCCCACCTCAAAGTCCGCCGCACCACTTACCCCGCCAAGTACCTGCACCTCCAAGCGCGGCGCGTGCTCACGGGGAAAGCCATCGAGGCTTATATCGCCAAACACCCCAACATCGCGCACACCACCGTTTCCGTTCCCCTGCCACCCTCTTCAGCTTCTGATATTGAGATCAAGAATGTTCCTGAGCCGGTGCTTCACTTCCTCACCCCTGTGAATGGGCAGGATGATGTCGGGGGTAGTGAGAACAACAAGACAACGCTCCTCTACTTCCACGGCGGCGGCTACGTCAACCCCCTCCGCGCAATGGGCCACATGCCCTTCATCCTCTCCATGCATAAAGCCTGCAAGGCAAAGCAAACAATAATCCTCGAATACGCGCTCGCGCCCGAACACCCCTATCCCGCTCAACTGATGCAAGCCGTCGCGACCTTGCGCTATCTCCTCACCGATATGTCCCTTTCCCCGTCCGACATTATCCTAGGAGGTGATTCCGCCGGCGGCCAACTCGTCGGTGCTTTGCTAGCTCACCTAGCGAAACCCAGTCCCTACGCCCCTGCAGTGCAACAGTGGAGGGAAGGAGAGGATGCCTTCAAAGCAGCGGTCTTCATCTCCCCCTGGGCGTTCATGCAACGACCGGGTGACCTTTTCGAAGCCGACGAGAAATGGGATTACCTCACGCCAAAACAATGTGGGCGGTATCAAGACCTTTGGGACGCGAAGGTGGATGAGGTGTGGGCGAATTTGTGTGGCTTCTCGGCGGACGACGATCGAGATGCTCAAGATGAAGTTTGGGGCCGGGTATTCGGGCGAGATGGAAGGAGGGCGATGGTGGGGAAGACGTTGGTGACGGTGGGAACGGCGGAGGTGTTGTTGGATAGTTGTCGGCGGTTTGGGAGGGAGTGTGTGGGGGGTGAGACGGTGGTGGTGGATCGGGATACGGACTTGGAGAAGGAGGTGAAGGGGAGGGAGGTGGTGACGGTGGAGTGTGTCGGGGAGGCACATGTGCAGCCGGCGTTGGATGCTGCGCTGGGGTATGAGGAGGGGGTGATGATGAGGGTTATGTTGGCTTGGTTGGGGGGTGTTTAGAGGTCCGTACCTGAACTGGACATCTCGACGGAGATTGGAACTGACTTTGAGTCTTTGATGTGTGGAAAATGGATATAGCATTTCGTCTATTAGATACGTACGTAACGAAATCTGTATGATCTCAAACTCCATCCTCACTAGGCTACTCTCGTGTTCATCTTGGTCCATGGTGTCCCCCGAAAAGATTCAGCGTGCTTTCCTGTTAGCTTGGCCAAGAACTCCACCACCTTCGCTGGTTCCGTGCGCCCGTTGCTTGAGAGATGCATCCTTCCAAGGACATTTACTCGCTCGAATGTTTCAGTTTGACTGTCGGTCCCTGTGGTCCTCATGAGCACCATGTAAAAGACATCGAACCAGTTATAACCAAGTAGAATGACTCGAAAATCGAACGTGGACTCGGTGTATGGTTTGATAGTCTCAGCCTGGTTCACCCTCTGCCTTTGGAGATGGTATGCATCGGTGCTCAAACCGTACCATTTATTCCTGAATCCCCAGCACCAGGGGTTTCCACGGCGAGTCAGCTCAAGCGGTAGCTGAAGATGCTGGCCATCAGCGTCTAGAAATATCCAGCGGCGACTGTCGCGGTCATCGGAACACGAGTGGTTGTTGGGATTACGACCATTTCCACCGTGGGCGTGGGCTTCTTTGGTGGGAAGTATAGTTCGCTCGTGGAAGTCCGCCCAGTCTTCCTCCGTCATGTATCGTAGTTGCGGATTAGCGGTATATCCCTGGATGTGCAGGATGCGTGGCGGTTTTGGCAGCGATGTCAACCATAATACATCCGAGTCGTACCCCTGGCCCCAAGAGACAATCCTGCCATCGTCAAGTTCCACACTCAGATCGACAAGGCAGGTAAAGCTTGAATCTTGGTAAGGGAATTTAAGGTGATGGCTGGTTGTGTAAGCTCCACCGTAAAGTCCAGTTCTTGGCCTCCAATCAGCCCATGTCCAGCTCGGGAATATCTCCTTTCTCGGTAGTATGGTTGTTCCTTCCAGGTTCGTAAAGTCGTACTGACCAACAGGGTCGCGGACAACATGGCTTGATTGCTTGTTGGGCTCTTCATAGGAGTAGGAACATACCTCGCTGTCATGTCCTGGTTCTTGCTTGATATAGACATCCTCTTCCTCCGATACCCGAGGTACACTTTCCTGCTCAGCGATTGACATATGAGGAGGCACTACGGCAACCGGAACTTCCTGTCCAGCCCTGGAAAGCTTCTTCTCCGCCTCGAACTGGAGTCGTTCAACGGCCAGCTTCCGTTTCTCATCGTTTAACTCAGCCTCCTTGGCAGCGATGGACTGCCTCTGCAGTGCCAGCTCTCGCCTGTTGAGTTCCATAATGCTTTCCTCAGTCAACCATTTTTCCCTGTCAAGGGCGTAGGCCAAGTGTTCCTTCTAGAGGAACTCTCGGGCAAATTCCCGGGGCGCATAGTGGAAGTCGTTCGCCAATTCCCGCTGGGTGAAGCGGACTGTCATCTTGAACAGCTGCCACAGTCTGTCGTGGACTTGCTGGGGAAGTAGAGCTTGGAAGGACATTCGCTGCGCAGAGTCCACCACGAATTTGCGGATGTCTTCATTGGTGACGGGGCCGGTATCACCGTCGAGGTGAGCGTTGGTGGGCATGGCAAGGAGCTGGTTCTGGTTGTTGGCGTTGGACATTTTGCTGTTTGTGGTAGTTTATGGTATATCTATACACCTATAAAGCAGAATGGAAGTCGGAGGGTTGTTGGTCTGGTGGAAGGTGTGATCTTGTGAGTTGTTGGTTGGCGGAAAGATCGAATGGTTGAAGAGTTGAAGGGTGGAAGAAATTCCACAACACCAACAAAATATCGAGGAAGGGGAGAAGGGGTGGTGGGCCAGGTGGCAGAGGGCAAAGCCTGCCCTCGCCGTCACCTGGCAGATCTTCCCGTCCCGACTGTGTGACGTCCTGACCACCTGGCGGCTTGTTATTTCGTACCTTCCTCATTCGAAAGACCCTTCACCAACCGTCGAGCTCCCGTCCCGTTTTAAGTCAGCTGGCAGGTGTACTAGAGGTACGTAATCAAGGGAGTGAAGCCAGTGAATGGTGGTTCGATAGAGGAGGATAACAGAAGATAAGCGGAAGGTCAAAAGTTACATCCAGATCCATCTTGATATGCTCAAGAGACTTTCCATTCCGACGTGATGCCTCATGGACAACGTGTCAAGTCAACTCAATCGTACCAGTGTAAATGGGCGCCCCGTATGGCATCTTTCGTAAGCTACGAAACACTTTTCTTAGAAGACAAGAGGTGGTTTTAGTGGTCAGAAAGTGGTCAGAATTGACAACATTTGAACTTCTCTCCATTTCCGAGCGGGAAACTTGACGAGTAAGGTATTGCCATCAAAAGCAAGAAGACGTCTGGCAGAGGAAGTGAGTGGTGGAGTGTCCGAAAGGGGCTTATAAGGCGGTAGATAAAATGTGATGTTTTGCTTGCTTTTCAGAGGTGATTAGAGGTAGTTGAATACCTGTACAGGTAGTATCTGACAGTGACTCCAGCTCTGTTTGTTTTGGCGGAAGTATTCATGATGAAGGTACCTCTATGTTTGTCTAGAATCCTGTTCGGTGGGGAAATAGAGAGGTTTTCTTGCCTCTTGCCTATGCTTATCTCTCAATGCACCGCCTCTCTCCCTCTACACTCAAGCTTCGTTCATAGCTTCCACGCCGCTAGTCCTCTCTCTCTCTTCCTGCTCCAGCAGCTCCCTCCAAACAAACGAGCACAGCCCCGTCCCTCCATTCCTCCTCACCAGTATACACCTAGGATAATGATTCCTCAGCAACCCAGGAGTACGCACGTGTTTGCAAACACACTTTCCATCCGCAACTGAAGTATGTCGGTCGCCGTGGTTGATGAGACCGAACCAGCAGTACCACTGGCCTGGATTACCTGCTCTTTCGAAGCTGCGCCAGCTCTCCAGCTTGCTTTGGTCTTGTACACGGAAGAGCCCATCTATGACTGCTGCCATAATTGCGGGTGAGACGTTGATGTCAAGCTTTTGGAGTGGATTTGGGATAGCGTGAATGTGCAGGTTGAGCACCGCAATGGTAGTGCGGATGCCGGCTTCTAGGGGCGAGACTGTGACTCTTGTTGGACCTGAGGCCGGAGCTGGCGTTGGTTGGGTAACTTGGGTTTCGATCCTATGGCGTGGGGATTGCCGTTCGGGTGGTAGTGAGAAGTCCTCGTCGAGGTTGGCGTTGGAGAGGGTTCGTTTGCGGCTGGTGGGTGTAGTCAAAGTCTTCTGCTAATAAGAAGGTTAGAAGGAGCCCTGATGTATTAGATGAGCTGTGAGCCTACTAACCTCGCTGTTACTGTGTTGGGGTTTTCCTCCAAGGCTTCCTGTCTCTTGAGGAATAATAGTCATCCGCTCTTCCTGTTCCAGAATTGGCACAGAGGCCTGGACAAGAGCCTCGTGCCTGGCCCTGACCATCTTCTTCTCTGCTTCCAAGTGCTGCCGCTCTACAAATAACTTCCTCTTCTCGGCGGCCAACGCTTGTCTTTCACGATCCAGGAAGCTCTTCGCGCGGGCTAGCATCTGCTTCTCGGAATCTATCTGCTTCCTTTGAGCGTCCAAAAGCTCACTCTCACGAGCGAACGCCTCGTGCTCTGCCTTGAGATGCTCTCTCGCGACGGCGAGAGGTACCTGTTTGAGGTCGTCCGCCCTTTTGGCCAACCACCATTGGATGCTCAGCTGCATCAAGCACAGCAGAGATAGCAGTCGGCGATGTTGGTCCGGTGGCATTTGTTTCCGTGCTGCGCGGTTAATGCAGCGGTCCAGGCATTTGTCCGTGACGGGGTCCGTGACGGGGTCTCCTCTACCGCTGAGATTCCTGCTGAGACTCGTGTTGAGAGCCTCCGCGGGGGTTGGAGGCATGTTGACGGTTGTTGAAGGTGCGAGTGGTAGAAAAGCAAATGTGGGTGTTCAGCTGAGATGCCTGGGAGCGTAAAGATTTCCTGTCAGCGGTTTTGTTGGTTGTTGAAGGAAGATCCGAGATGTTGATTGACGGAGACAGAATTCACGCCACCATGAAATTGCTGGGTGGAGGAACAATTTTCGTGGCAGGCGGGTAGCACGGGCCACAGGGCAAAACCTGGGGGATGGCAGTCACCTGGAGGTGGCAGACCTTAGTAGGCGCCGGAGCGCCTGCCATCTTGCCGAACGTACCACGGTCGTACCTTACATAGGTAGTTCGGAAGGAACTACGTGTTCCTCAAACCTCATACCTTTGGGGGATAAGGTCAGATGCAAATGATATCGTAGCAGTGGATATAGGGGTGAGGCAGCAAAGAGAACCTAGAAGCTGACCTATGGGTTATGCAAAAGCTTCCACTTATTAAGACATCAGAGGATGACTTTGATTGCCTTTTATGACTTCAAGGTACCGTCAAGCTGACAGTCATGCATCTCAGTCATCGATCTAGGTCTTTTAGACGACCATTGGTCTTGCCAGTTACCAGGGAAATATAATGAGTTTGTTTCTGAGTCGGAGTGTTTCATGTATTACCCTACCTCTAGGTAAGCATTGTAAGGTAGGTTTGCTTTAGTAACCTACCTATATGTTGAATGTGTTTGTCTGATCGTCACATCTTCTACTTCTCATGGTATATGTCACCGCTTGGTGGTTTTATAAACTGAAGACACTTGTAAGGAAGAGATAATCGGGAGTACTCCTAGATCTCCAACTGTCCGAGCATAGTTGATAACGGAAGCTGATAGGGTACGTATGGATAAAAGGACATGGACGTCTTGGATCTGACCTTATGGGCGACCAACGTCGCCCCTCTATACTTGTATTTTCCTTTCATTTTGTGGACACAGGCCGAGACATATGGCTTATCCCCTACCTAACTTCGCCTGAACGAAGACACTTAAATTGCACATGGACTTTGCTTCATGAGGTGTCACCTTGGAATGGAACAATCTGGTGTTTATTCCTGGCAGGGACCGCCTGTGCAACTTCAACAAGGTCCAGTCTATGTTGAACTTGAATCATCAATAAAGGAAGATACGTCGACGCGTGCTAGGAAGTGGGAGAGAGTTTACAAGTAAGACAAGAGCAAGGCGCGTATGAGAAAAGGAAGAGAGGCACAAAAGGAAAGGAGGGGAAACAAGAACAACAGAAAAGATGCAAAAAAACAACGCCCTCAGGAACAGACCTGACACTCGTCAGAGTCGAACGCGGAACCCTACACCACACTTGTGGTGCCCCACTTGAAGCTGTAAGGCCCTCACTGCCGCTGGTTGAGCCAACGGCGAGGGGATTTGTTGTTGAAAGTAGGGGCTGGACCTTGGGCTTATCAAGGGGACTCGTCGGGCGGCTGCCTGGTTGGCTGGGAAGGGGGCGGTCTCCTGCCGTCTGGAGGGGCCAGACTTAACTTCGGATGACTTGCGAACTCGTTTCTGCAGGAGCTTCGTGTACCACGTGAGTCGAGATGTCGTATTTTCTCGAGAATACCATTGTGCTTTGGTGGTTGACGTCTGGAAAATCTCCGCTCCGAACAAGTCAAGATGTAACAAAGCAGTTTATGTCAATTCTACATGCAGAGGTAGTGTTGGACAAGCCCCAATTCTGGCCATAAATACTGCAAATAAGCCAAGTACATGGCCTCAGACTTGACTTTTTTGACTTCCACTTGTGTATAACCTTCCCCCCATCCTTCGCTGGTGGTTTGTGCTCCAGAAGCAAGCAGATTTTACTCGCGTCACAGATACAGTGATTGCGAGTCAGTTGCAAGGGACAGTGCTATGAATACAAATAGGAAGGTACGGGGAGTTGGAATGAGTCCAACAACCAAAATAAGGTACCTTAATAAACGCAGGCGAGCAGCACAGGCAAAACGCTCAAGGCTCAAAATACGGACGGAGTTTCGTTCTATCATATCTTATTGATAGTTCGTCACTGTACTTGGTCTTGAGATCTAGGTACATATGTATAGGATAATAGGAAGGCATGCCCAGGGTGCGGTCAAGTTTTATCTTGATTAAGCCAAGTACGGCCTCAGACTTGACTTTCTTGACCTTTGTGAAACCCTGCCTCATCCTTTGCTGGTAGTTTGCGCTCCAGAAGTACCATAGCGGGAAAATCCGATCTGTGGCATCGGATGTCCTGGCTGTACCTCCATGACCTCCAATGTTGAAAAAACTTCCAATCTTAAAGGCACTGTATTATAGGGCATTCCACTGAACTTAGGTCGGGTCCGAAACTTGAAATTTCTCAAAGTCTCAAAGTCTTACCTTCCCACGTTCTTGCCTCCTTCCTTCTCTGGATGTCCCACTTTCCCTTTATAAACGGAAACACCTAGACTGCGTTTGTTCTCGTACCGCCGCCGTACAGAGAATCTGGTCGTATAGTTTTATATTGTAAAGTTCGGGCCACTTTTTACATATACCGTACAACTATCTATACCTCTCTTATACGACGATGTTAATTGTCGCTTCGTTTGCAACGATGAATTTTTATAGGGGGTTATAGCGCTTTGAGCGCTAGGCGAATACGCTATAGAAGGTACATCGGGGTGGATGTACGGTATTGACTGCATTTTTGAACGTGTATATATTTTATCGTTTTATACGATTATGCCGAAAAATGTACGATTTTTTAGCTATATATAACCCTAACCCGGACAAGGCTATACAAGGCTGACATAAGGGGGTCGGAGATTGCATTTTCTTACGGCAGCCGACTAAACGACACTACTTTTGTACGGTTTTCGTACAAAAATAGTCCTACAGACCCTTTTATACAACAACCGTACGAGAACAAACGCAGTCCTAGTCTTCAAGGTTAGAAATAACTATTTGGTCCAGTGGCCAAGTGGTTAATAAAGTAGTTCTTCATTTTCATTCGCGCTCGTAATCCTTGTTCGATTCCTCTTCGTGACCAACTTTTTGAAATCGTCCCCGGCTACCCGACCGGCCAGTAGTTAAACCTTCTAATAGTGTATTCTTCTAGGTACTTCGACCTTCTGAAAAATAGAAGGTAAAGTACCTTGCCTTCCTTTTGCTTATAGGGCGTTCAACATTGGAAGTTTTAGTCTGATCCAATGTTTTGTTTACATTCAATCCTGGACTCAACATCCAATGTCATAGGGTGCAGATTTCCAGTACGGTAGGCAGACGTCACTCGCGTCGCGGTTTTCAGTCACGTCGCGCCTAGCTACCTAGGTAGCCCTATAATTTCGTCTCCGTACACAGCTCTCTCCTCTTTTTTTCTTTTCTTTCATTACACAACCACAGAAATTCTTCCTTCTCTTCACCCCGCGGCACGTCTCACGGTTACCTCTACAAGCAAAGATCTTCAACGTAAGTTATCCTACTTTTGTTCAGTCGATAGTCCATATATCTCGGCATCTCACTAATACCTTCTACTTTATTCATTTCTTAGTCTCAGCTCACTCAGTCTCGGCTCAAAGTGAACCTCGCGTCACGAATAATTCCTACAACTTTGTTCCCGCGCTCAGCTCTCTCCTCTTTTCTTTTCTTTATTACCATACAACCACGAACCGGAAACTTCCTCCGTTCTACCCCGCGATCTCACAGTAAAAGATCAAAGCTTCCAACGTAAGTATTTTCACTTCTGTTCAATCCTCAGTCTACATGTCTCGCTAATACTTCCTTTCATTCATCAGATCGTCAGCATCTTCCTTCTTCCTCCCTACCCCGCGGTCTCAAGGCTACAACTTGAGTAGAAGCTTTTAACGTAAGTGCTTTCTTTTCGTGTAAGCAGCAGTTGATATATTTCGCTAACATCTTCTTTCCTTTTCTCATTAGATTCCCCTTTCATCTCCATTCGAAGTGAGCATCTCGCGACCACGGATTTCGTTAACCTCACTTCTTACTCACATCACACGTAAGCTACTCTACTTTCGATCAGTCAATAATCTCTATATCTCGCTAATACTTTGTTTCTGTTTTTCATCCGATCGTCCACATCTTCCATCTCCATTTCAAGGTGAGAATCTCGCTACCAAAATTTTCGTCAACCTCACTTTTCACTAACCTCATCAAGATGTCTGTCGCAAACAACCAAGCCTCCTACGAGGCGGTCAAGAGGCGCATCGAGTTCAACATGTTCTCCATAGTAATGGAGGACATCCGCGTCGTAGCGCCCGAGCTCGAGGACGTCAACAACCTTAGCGCGGCCTACCACAGGGCCAAGGAGGAAGTGTTGGCCGCCTACTACGAGCACTTCTACCTCGGGCTGGGAGTTGCCGAGGTAGTCGTCGAGGGAGCCGTCGAGTGGGCGACCGCGAGGCTGTTGTGGATGAAGTACTGTGGAGGGTTAGACTTTGGCATGCCGTGTCCCGCCGACGCGTTCAGAGAGGAGTGCGAGGAGCATATGACGAGACCGGACGAGGCTTGGCTGGTGTACGTGGCGGGAAAGATGGAGGAGGATGGGGTGAATTAGGTTGAGGGGGAGGCTTGTTGTTGTTGTTGTTATTTTATTTAACGTCTACTTCCGCCTCCCGAAGGGTATGAGACGTGCGGCAGCGGCGCCGTCCTAATCTAGTTTAATTTACAGAAGCACGTAACCCCAAACAAACTTTTCCCAGCTAGAAATTATACAAATCCGTACGCAAATTACGGCTAGAGGCCGTTAAATTTTGTAGTATCCGTTGCATTAAATACAATCTACCGCTAAAAAAAGAAATAAAAGATAAAAGATAAAAAGAAAGTTTTTACCCCTCTTTTTCCCCTTCTAATACATCCTTTCTTCGTTATAATTATTAATAGCGCTAATTTAACATTACATTTATAATCTATATAACGTACCCTAAACCTATTTTTAAACCCTCGCCCATAAGGAAACTGCTCTAAGTATTTACATTACTACTATTTTTAGCGTACTATTACTAAAGTATATATTACTAGTCTTTTTTAATATAAATTTAATTAAATAATGTAGAAGTTTATATCCTAACAATAAATAAGCGCTAATTAATATTTAATATAAGGGCGATATTTTCGTATTTAGCAGAATCTCTTCTAAGAAGTAATATTACGTACGATTTTATATAATAAAAGGGATATACTAGGATTTTTTATTTACTATACAAATAAATTAATAAAGCGTCTTCGTACTTAAAATACTTGTGATATTCCTTGAAATCGTTGTAACTAATACGGACCGTTAGTGAGTAGTATAGCGATTAATAATTTAATTCCTTTAATTTTTCTATAAGCTTATATTAACCTTAAAATAGTAATTGATATAAAATTCCGGCTTATTTTCTATTTAATAAATTTTAAAAGCCTCCCTAGCCTCCCATTTAGCTAATCATTTAAAATAAATAAATATAACCGCTTTATTTATTAATTCGCCGCTTTTAACGCTAATTTTCGCTAGTTCTTTAGCGATTTTGTTACTTATAATACTTATATACCCGGGTACTTATTTAATATTTACTAAATTTTGGCTATAATTTCATTGAATTTATTAGAATTTTAAAAAGGTTACTTGTAAAGATAGTATTAAAATTTTCCGGAGGCCCAAGACAACGGCCGTATTATCGAAATAAATCATAATTTTAAGTATTATAACGCTTACTAATGTTACTATAGTTTTAAAACTATATTGAGCCCCTTTAGCCTTAATATTAAAAACTTCTACTTATATTAATTAATTACATTTATAATCGATTTTTTCCCTACCTTGATAAAATATATATCCGAAATTAATATATTTATTGTTAGGCTCGTCATTATTTTTCCTTATATTTTTAGCAAGCGATTTATTTCTTTATTATAAACTTATTATTATAGACGACGATTTCCGAAGGGTTTAATTATTCTAACTATTTTATAAAACTTTTAGCCGCTTGCTTTTTAAAAGTATAAGCGGGATTAAAATAAGTAGTACTATTATAAATTAGCGGCTATAAGAGCGGCTATAGAAAGGGGATTATAAATTTAACTATCGATTCGAAAATAATTAAGCGGTATAGGAATCGTTTTATTATAAGCCGAGGGTAAGTAAAACGGGTAATAAGGGGGTAAATTTCGTCGAAAGTAAATAAATAGACGGTATATTAATATTAAATAATTTTTAAAAATTATTTACTAAAGTGGAAGATAGCCTCTTAATAGAGGGTAATTAAGTAGGTAATATACTAAATAAATAGGTTTATACGGACTATAATATTGACGATTATTTAAATTTTATCTAGCTAATTGCGAAATCCGCTTTTAATAAGGGGAAATTCGCTATATTTACGAACGGTAAATTATTATTTCGGGCCCGGCTATTATAATTTGGCGCTAAATAAAGTTTTAGGGAATATTATTGCCTTTATTACTTTAATTATTAAATTAGGGGGGGCGCTAGTATATACTTTATTAAGAGACTTTATATATATAATTACGATTTTTATTAATATAATTTCCTTTTTAATATAGTATTTAAAATTAAATTTATTATAAAATTAAATTTTAAGTTAGCGAATTGCGGGCTAAGCGGTTATTAGGGTGCTACTATACTATATTATAGGAAGGGCGGGGAGGGCTTGCTTTCTATAGAAATACTAAATTTCTATTTTATTCGAAGAGAATTCTACGGCGTTTTTTATCTTCTATTTAATTATTAAATGTAATTCTTCCTGTATTTTAGCGGCCGACTCTTCGAAGGTATTATTAATAACAAAAATAATATAATTATTTATATATTTAAATTGGTATATTTCGTATTTTAATTAATATACCAGTTTAATATATAATAAATATAAAATAGGGGAGGTTAAGGAACTTTGGAGAAAGCTATAGAAAATTAGATTTATATTTATAAGGATCTGTAAAAATTTAATATAAATTTCGTAGTTAGTTAAAAAAAATTCGATTTAGTGGACGAAGTATTCCGGCTAACCCTATTCGTAGAAATATAATAGGAAATACTTTTTAAATATAGTATCGAAAGTACCCTTAGCGTCGGTGGTAATTAATATAATTACTAGTCCTTTACTTAAAATATCTTTAATATTATATAGAAATATAACAATAATATTAATTACAGAGCGTTTAAAGAGGGTACCTACTTACTAGGGGTAAATTATTCCGAATTTAATTATTATTTATGCTATACAGCGGGCTATTAATTTTTTTAAACTTTTATTTAAGTAGGATAAAAAGGAAATCGACCTCCAACCTTTAATTATAACCGGATTCTTACCCGGCTTAAAAATTATAATTACTTTAGCTTCATAGAAAGTTCGTAAGTAATATCTAATTATAATATAGCTTTAATATAGTAATTATACCAAGTTAGAAAATAATTCTTAAGACGCCTTTAATATTCTTATAGTAATACCGTCCGCGCTAGGGGACGTATTGCCGACGCTATAAAAATACTAGTATATTTTATTAATATATATAGCGGAAAATTGAAGTAAATAATCGTATAGAATTATAAGCGCCTAATTATTTTTAATATCGTCGTCGGCCGAATTCCTTTTGAGGAATCCCTTCTTTAATAAGTTTACTTTATTTTCTGAATTTATAATTATAGTACTATTGGGTACCTATAGCGCTGGGGAATTTAATTATTTATAGGGTTTATATTAATCAATAATATAGTAAATATCTTTATTTATTTTCATATTATTAATAATACTCTTCTAAATGTCCCTCTTAACTCATTGTATTGCTTTTTTAAATTCCTATTATAGAACCTTAACCCGTTCCGGATTTAGGAAGGGATTATTACGACGGTAATTGTAGAAAGTTTAAATAACGGCGTTAATATTTTTATTCTATTACTTTACTCTTTTATCCGGCTTCGAAAGCTTATAAATCGCTTTCAACGTTTATTATAGGATGTTTAGAAAGTTTTTAGCGAATTTTTCGAAATTTTCCGCTCTATCTATAATTAATTAAAGGGTATCGATAAAGAAAGAAACGTTCGTAGCGTATTGTTTTATAAATTCCGGGTCGTTTTTTAAATTAAGTTAGTAATGAAGTGAAACGGTTTATCGAATTAGGATATTGGAAATAAGGAATAGATAATTGAAAGTAATTTCGAAGTCGTCGGCTATTTTATATATAATTAGAGGAATATTTATAAGGGCGAGATTTATTATATTATTTAAATTATATATAAGAATACCGATTAGGCTAATAAAGTTTAGGCTTTTCGCTACTATAAAATCGACGATAGTAGTCCTGCCTTCTATCAATTACGTTCCCGGCTGCTAAAAATAATATTTAATATTAAAATCTCTTATAATAAAAGCCTTAGCCGGTATACCCTACCGTTTAAAGGCTTTTAAAGTAAATTCATTACCTATTTAGCGGTAAATATTAATAAGAGAGATTCTACGGACTGTAATTTATAAGATATCCCTATTATTATAATTTATAGGGTTAAAAGCGGCCGTAACTAATCCCTTTTTAATATATATAAGTATGCGGGGCTCCGAATTTGGGTCTTCTATTTAATTGCGGACGGGAGAAAAAAGTAAAAATAGGCTAAAGGAAAATATTCTAGGGTTTCTTTCCTTAATTATCTATACCTTCGGTTCTTATAGAAGAACAACGTTAATTCCCTTTATTAAAGCCGTACAGAGAGCGATAGTGTTAAGCACTTAAGCTTTTTACTACGTTAGCTTAAAAGATACGTAGTCGAAGTATATTAAATATAATAAATTATATTAATGATATGTCTATTAACGTTAGGAAGCGGCCTTTATTATAGATTAATAATTATAATTAAACTCTTTTAAACTTTTAAAGTTAAAAGAATATTTACTTAATTAAATTTCGATTATAATGAAATCTTTAAAAATCGGTTATAGTTGGGAGTAGGATATAATATCCGAATTTTTAGGGCCGGAGGGGGCGGAATCGTTAGAAGAGTTGTTTTAGCGTTTTTCGGCTCTATTAACCTTATTATAACGTTTCTAACCAATTTAATAAATTTTTCCGCGGACTTACTTAATTAAGTAAATGTAACGGCTATATTGTTTTACCGGTTTTACGTAGTAGTTTTCGTAGGCGGAGGGATATAGTCCGTAGTAATTAGCGTATTAGGGGGAGTTTATATAAAAAATTATTTCGTAGCCGGGTTTATTATAATTATTATAAACATAGGGGCGGAAGTAATTACGGCGGCTATATTAATTAAAATAGGCCGGATATTAAAGGAGGGGCCTTTTCTTATTTATAATTTATAAAACGCTGCTAGCGTCGAAAAGTTTAAAGGGGGCTTAGGGGCTATTGAAGGCGATAAGTTAAGTAGCGTAGTAATTTCTTTTATTATTAAAGTTAAAGGAGATGCGAGCGTATATTAATTTGATACTAATTTAAATAAAGATTTCTTCGATAATATTTTTGGTAGTAGGGGCGGTAATTTCGTTATTAAAGCGGATTTTTATCAAGATTCTAAGGATGGTATAAATTATTTATTATTTTAATAATTTAATGGTAATTTTAAA